GAATGAAGAATAAAAAGTACATGTGGTTTTGATTGATAAGACTTAAGTTTCACTATTTCGGTGTTGTTTTCTAGTACCGAACCAATGTCTTAGAGTGCCGAGCCGATCTGGCTTCCTTGAATAACGTTTCTATATGTTGATCGAACCGATATGGCTAACTTCGGCTTGGCTCCATTCTTCGACAGATTCCACGACAACGTGCCGTGATTTACGACTACTTTAAAGAGCCGTTAAGGCCCTGCCTGAAATATTTTAGAGAAGTTGCCTATAAGTAGAATCATTTTGTCTCATTTTCAGGTACATGAATACTAAATTCTCTCTTGAATTTACTCGACAATCTATTGATTTGGACGTCGGAGTGTTTTATGTTTTGCAGGTTCCCTGTTCGACATATCTCTAGGTCATTCTCCATCCGAGTCGAGCTTCGCAGAGTTGGTCAGTTTCTTAACTAAACAAATTATAAAGTAGTCTCCAAACTTTGATAAAATTTTAAATTTTAAAAAGTGTTTTATAAGTCTTTAAACAACTTTTTTATTTTTTATATATAGTCTAATTAATACGTTATTCGACTTTCGATTTTGTGTTTAGGTCTATGAATTTAAAAAATAGTGTAGGAATATGCTAGTGACCCAATTAGAAATAAAATAAAGTTCGTGAATTTAGTAGATATTTTTAAAGTTTATAAATCTATTAGACACAACATTCAATATTTAAAGTTGGGAGACTTGTCAATAAACACAACTTTGAAAGTTTATTGATTGAATGCTTGTAATTTTACTAAAGATTTCCTTTCAAGATTTTGTTATTAATAAACACAAAATTGAAAGTTTAATGGTGTAGTGGATACTCAGTGAGCAACTCATGACCAGCACAACTTAAACTCGAAACCTCTAGATGGATGGTACGTCTCCAAAGCTCGAAATGCTTCATTGCGTCATCTCTCAAGCGAGCAATTTGATTAATTTTTGTTTGTTCTATTTGAACAAATTGTAACTATTTTGGATATTGAGAGGTGTGATGGTTGTCTTGATGTAATTGTTTTCATCTTAAAACTTAAGAAAGTTGAAGTGGTTGAATGATAATTAGCTAGGGGTGTTTTAAGAAAGAAGACATTTTTCAAAAAAACATATCAAAATCACCTCAATTATCATGTTAATTAGGTCAATATAACTCACATGCATGTCTCTCGCTCATTTTTAGCACTACATCCTAACATCTCTTAAAGCATAATGGAATTTTAGGAGTGCAATCAAAATTAAGCTTTCGTTGAAAGTGAGACATGATAAGCTTTGATACTATATATTTTAAAAAAAAAAAAGAAAACATCAACTCACACAAAACAAATTTTTATTTTTATTTTTTATTTTTATTTTACATTAGAGTGTTTCTTATTCAAGTTCAACGATATCCCTCAATGTCATTCAGTAAAAAATTTGATTGAAAAACTTTGATACCTTAGAGGTTAAATGGTTATAAAATTCATAACTAAATGATATATTCCTTAAATCACCATAAAATTCAAAAGCTTAAGTTTTAGATGTAGATTTAATCTTTTTATAATGCATGTTTTTAGTATTCCCTCTCACTTATATGACTTTATAAAATAATTATTACGAGACCCAAAGTACATGATTATCAATATCAATAAGGAAGTTAGAAAAGATTAAGATGAGAAAAAGATTTCGACCACAACCTTAATACCATGTTTAATATCTTCATGTCATGTTCTTGCCACTATTTAACCTTAACAAAATGAAATTATACTACATGACATAAAATAAATATGTTAAATATGTATTTTCTATTATTTTTTGTTTTTTTTTCAAAAATGTCACAAAAGTACTTTTCGTATCATGTGATTTTATAAGTTTGCAATTTATTCTATTTTTGTAAAATTTTAAACCTAATAGTAGTTATAATATATATTCTTTTAATGCTATTTTTGTCCTAATTCAAAAGAAAAAAAATACGTCATCTATTACACTATACCATCCCAAAATTATTTAAACCCACCCCATATAGAAAAATTATCCAAGCTAGCTAGCTCCATATAACTGGTCTTTCATTATCATCTTGTAAAGTAATTTGTTGATATATGTTGCCTCACTTCTCTAGGAGATGGCGCAATAACAATTGCTTGGTGATTTATGGTACGTATCACACCTACTTGTTCAAACCCACGTGACATTAAAGTGCTGTGACAACCTTCACCAAGTCCAAACGACCCACGTAATATTGAGACGTTGTGACAACTTTTATCGAATCTGAATAATTGTCGACCGCCAAATCTACTGATCTGCATGTATATTCTTTTTTTTTTGGTTGAGGCAAAGGCCAATCCAATATGTAATTAGTTGCTATCACCGATACGTGGATGTGTTGATGCATTTTGAATTACTAGTGTATTACCACGTGCAAATGCACGTAATTCTTTTTTTTCACCGATACAAGATTAAAAAAATATCACAATTCATAAAAAATTATCATAATAAAAAAATGACTATAAATCAATAAGTATGTAATTCAATTATGCCGGTCAAATTAGAAAGTTAAAAATGAAATATTTCAAAATAATGAAATAACAAAACTTTTCACATTTAACATTTATAAATTTCAAACTTTTATATTGATTTGGTGCATCGGTTAAGAGTTAAGTTTCCAGATAATATTTTACTTCATAAAAATTTCATTGCTTTTTTTTTTCTCTATAATTTTGAGCATTTTGAACTCATCAACTTTTTTAAAAATAAAATACTCATAATTTTACATTTTAAAATTTAGTTTGACTTATTTGAATCATATTTATTCGTGTAATTAATTAGTAAAATATAATAACTATTATAAATAAAATAATATATTATACTGCTTCTATAATATTTATTTTTAATCCACTTTTTATTTATTATATTAATTTTAATGAGTTATAAAAATTTATAATTGATGAGAAAAAACAGACATTAATTAGAATTCAAATTAAACATGTTATTATCTAATTATTAGTAATATTTGAAATAGTTAGCTCAAGTGGTTTTTTTTTATCATTTTAAATAAAATATTTCTATAGAGATAAAAAAATCTTTTTAACTATTTTAAAATATGTCATATTTATTCGTGTAAAAATAAACAATGTTAGTAGAGAATAATATTTATGTATAATTCATATTACATACATACATTTAAAAACTTAGTTATAATTAAATTTTAAAATTATAACCATTTATAAATTTCTATAATAAAAATAATAACAATACTGATTATAAAATAAGTTCTAGATATTTATAGAGAAGATTCGTACCTGTTTTTCAAAAGATAGTTCTCAAAGATTGGTCCACCTTTGATTAACGTATGAGACCAAACTATAAACAACATTACCTTCAAACTCCTATAAATTGAGATACTCAAGGTGTTAGGTCACTGTGTAATATGATATTGCTAAATTTGTAAAATTTCGAAGAAATCAAGAAATGAAAAGAAGCAAATAAAGAGAGAGCTAAATTGTCGTATAAAAAAATAGAGATGAACTTCATATATATACATGTAGGAGATTGGTAAACTTTTGAAATTCCAACACCTTTTTAATTATATTATTAATTACAATTAAAGTAAAATCATAAATGGTTTGAAATAAATAACAAAACTTTTTTATTCAAACTCTTCACATTCATAACCTTCATATTTTTATTAATTAAAATTATTAAAATAAAAAATAGTATGTTTAGTAAATATAAAATTTGATAAAGGATAAAAGGGTCTAAAAATGTTTTCATGACATCTCCCCTTTTTAATATAGTATGGATGTGGGTGTGTACTCTGAGACAGCCTTGGACTTCAAATTGAAACCCCCCACCGTCAATGGTCAAGTTTTTAAATGTCCTTAAACACACAGCCCCATATTTATACACTCTCTCTCAATTTATACACAGCCCCATATATTCTTTTGGCGATGCTAAATTGGGACTTTTGATCTATGAACAGTTGTTTTCATTTGATGGGGAAACTTCCAACTCTTTCTGATTCTTCAACCCCAACATCTCAACTTGCTCCATTGGTCCAGAAACCGTTTTAACTTGCTACCTTTCTGGGTGTGGACCAACTTTTCTCTCATGATTTATCAATTTCCTTCCAGTTTGACTTTGACATGTGCGATATAAAAGTTTTTACGTTTTCATGAGTCGTCGTTACTGATGATCTTTTCATCGTTGTCAACTCTCTTTCTCGAAGATCTCATTTTTCTCGTCTCTCTGCTCGTAGTTCGGGTCTTATCTCATTATGTGAAATTTGATGTTATAGTTAAGATATATATATAAAGAAAAATGGATCGAGTTTTAAACTTTTTTCTTTTGATTTAAGCTCCTTAGAGCAAGATGTTGATGGCTTACCATCCCACTTCAGGAAGAGTAATGTGTTGTTTAATGGGCCACAGTTGAACAAATGATTCTAGCACACAAAAATGGAAGAGTAATGTGTTGGTTTTACCTTATTTTCTTCTATATAATTATGATATATGGGTTAGTGAAATTGACAACACCCTTCAAGAGAATCCAATGGTCAGTGATATTGGGGGAAAACCCTTGATTAAACTACATTAGTAATTAATTAAACAAAACCACTGCCCTTTTAGAAAGGGTGATTAAGAAAAAGAGAGAAGAAAGAAAGAAAGAGAGGGTTTGTTTTTGTGGTACCCACTCTTTTCCTCTACTGCCAAATCAAAGATTATTATCAAGTGGGTTCTCTTTAGTCTTTTCTTCCCGAAAAGAAGAGAAAAAAAAGGCACACCCATCATTTTATATTACAATAATGTCAGAATTTTGAATAAATTATTGTAAAATTCACTCCTCAAACACGCCTCTCCGTCGTTTAATCCAACCTATAAATTCAACGAAAATACTTAGCTGCTCCTAGTTGGGATGATCCATCTCTCTATGCTTTTTTAAAAAGTCTCATTTTTTATCTTTTTTCAGTACAAATACGTGAAAGTGAGAGATTTCAACTCATAAACACTTAGTTAGGGACAAAAGTCATATTAACATTTTTATATTATTATTTATTTTTTTAAAACAAATCTCTATTTTGCCTTTCTTTCTCTTGTTTGCCAAATATTTAACTGGGGAGAAGAGAAAATTACCAAATATTTTCTTTCAAGTCATATACAGTAACCTCTAAAATCCCTTCCTTTTTTCCACATATAAATTCCTTCTTCCCTCAGCAGCCTCTTCCACAAATTTCTCTTCCTTTTTCTCCCATACAAATTCTCCGACCAATTCGTCGCGATCATGTCCATCACCAGCCACCTCTCCGACAATCCAGACAAGATCTTCAAGAAATCATTCCACCGCCGGAACAATTCCGGCGAGCTCGATGTTTTCGAAGCCGCACGCTACTTCTCCGGCTGCAATGAAGTCAGTTACACCGGCGGCGGCGGCTATCAGAAGATCTTCAGAGAAGATCATGGCGGCCGGCGAGGAGCTGGGAGGATGAGCCTCGATTTGCCGATCAGAACCAATGTGGTCCCTCTCCCACCGCCGCCGTACACGGCGGAGAAACAAACAATTAAGGAGAAAAAACACCGCCAACAACCCAGCTCCCCCGGCGGCCGATTAGCCAATTTCCTCAATTCCCTCTTCAACCAATCGGCCTCCAAAAAGAAAAAGAAACCCAAAAACCCCATCAAATCCGAAGATCAGGAAATTGGATCAGCAGGAAGAAAGAGAAGAAGCAGTTTAAGTAATTTAATCGATTCAAAATCATCTTCAAATTTTTCAGTTTCAGGTTTTAGAACTCCACCGACTCCAAATTGCACCCTCCAAACTCCCAATAAAAATTACAAGGAAATCAGAACCTTATTATCATCTTCCAACAATAATCTCGGTAATGGGAGCTTTAATCAGGTGGCTTATAATAATAATTATAAGCAAAATTCTGATCGTCATCAGGAAAACGAGATCAGAAAAATCAACGGCCTAGATGAAGGCGCAGACAGCGATTCAAGTTCCGATCTTTTCGAGCTGAGGATCGGCGATTTCGATTGCTATTCATCAAGCGGCCTCCCTGTGTACGAAACCACTAACATTCACACCATTAAGAGATCAACGGCTCAGATTTCTTGATATTGCCAAATGTAAATTTTTATCCTTTTTTTTTTCTTTTAATCTTATGTTCAAATTAAATTCCCCTTCTCTCTCTTTCCATCAAATATTGCTTTTTTTTTTCTGATATCTGTACGTAAAGTTTGGAAAGTTTGTCGTCTCCTTTGTTTTTAATGTCCACCATGCTCTAATTAGATTTGCAATGGTAATGTTTTCCTAAAGATTTTCTCACTAGATTCTCATCATAACCATTCATGATCCCAAGGGATTTATTATTATTATTATTTTGTTAGAAAGATCCCAAGAATTTTTTGACTTTTGGGGGTACACTAGTAATGATGTTTAATGAATGAATGAATTAATTAATCTCAAAACCTTAAATCGCATTAATATAATAAAACTGAAAAGCACTTTTTTGATTAGTTAATGAAATCAGAGGTCACTAATCATGCAACATTGGCATGTGTGTGATGCATGAAAGGATTAGGATTTTTTTTTCCTTTTTCTTTTTCTTTTCTTCTCTACTTTTGCCTTTTGGTTGGTGAAATGGAGAAAACCAAAATTCCACAAATTGTACTACATTGGTTATCTTGTCCAACACATATTTCCAAAATGAGATGATTATTTTGATTGTAAATAAAAAAAAAATATACATTGATTTGACCATTTAATATATGAAACACTATTCACATTTGCAAAACAACAAACCTCCAGATTATCATAAGTACAACTGCTTAATCCTTTGAAAACGTATGGTACTAAATTGAGAGGAGGAACATGTTTTTGAGATTTGGTTCTTTCTTTCTTCCTTTTTTTCCCCAAAAGTGAAGAATCTGACTTAATTTGGAGACTTTTTTTTTAAGAAAAATTAACCGTTAAATCGAAATTAAATAAAAAAATTAAATGTATCCAGTTTGAAATTTGAAAAAATTAATTTTTTAGTACAAGATGTGTGGTGGGATTTAACTCACAATTTTTTAGTTGAAAATGTATACCTACTAGAAGTTTAACATAACATTAATATTTTTCAAAAAAAAATATATACATACATATATATATATATATCACTATTCTATATCATTATTTTAAAAAAAATTATGGTTCGTGATAAATAAAAAAAATTAAAATATACCCAAGTTAAAACTAAGAATTGGTAAAAATAACTTCATATTTCAAAAAAGTTGGGAACAGTGGAAAAAAAAATTCCTAATTGAACAATCAACCACTTCATTTAAACTCGTACTTCAACGATACTAAATACTAATTTAAAATTTTAAGTAGAAGTTTGATCAATATCAATTTTCGAAGTAGAGAATGTGATTTTCTTTTAAATTCTTTTTAATATATAAACTGATAGATGGAAAAAAAAAAAGAAAGAAAAAAGAAAAGAATAGCTAGCTTGGCATATTGGATAACATAGGAGAATAATTAAGATGATGTGTGAATAAGAAATGTTGATATAAAAGCAATTTGAGAGACATCCATCATCATAAGTTCCCATCCCAAACAGCAACACATGATTAATAATTGGGGAGAACAAAAAATGGGGGAATTGATAAGTTTGGGGGCAAAAACGTTGTCGTTTTATTGAGGAAGAACTAAAAAAGAGTGCTGATATCCAAACCAAACAGAAGAATTGTCTGGTTGACAAATGGGAAATTGGGAGATCTAGAGAGTTCTTTTCAAAGGTAACATGATTAAGTTGGAGCCTAAGTTCTATCCTCTTGATCATAGCCTTTTGAATGGAATAATTAATGGAGATTGCAATGATGCCCCCTTTGGCCATGGCCTTCTTCACTTCTGTTTTAGCCTCAAAACTTAGCATTATACAACTCCCCTTTGCATATATTATGCTTTGATTTTTAGTGGGTGGAGGGTCCATCTTCTTCTTTCACTTATTCCTTCTCAAACTTACCTTTAAACTTTATTGTTAATTTTAACTTTTTTTTAATTAATAATTTCTCGACCAATCATTTAAAAAACTTAAGTTGATAGATGTCAATTGCGTACCAGAACATAGCTCAACGGATTAAGACGCTATTTTCTGTAATTAGAAGGTCATGAATTTCGAATCCCTACTTCTACATATTGTACTAAAAACACTTTTGCAACTTACTCTAATTCTTAACTTGAGCTTCAAAATAAGAAAGCTCCTGTATCAATTATTTGAAATGGGCCATATTCATGCCAATGTCAACCAAGTTATTTGAAATGATTCTTTATGTAATGAAAAGTAGAACTCCTATAAATGATAATCAAATTAATCTCTTTTCTTACCCATCGTTTTTCAAAAAATTCACTTCTAACTTTGTAAACGTTTTAAAATTGATTCCTAAAAAGAATAGTAGAACCTGCAAGTCATGCGATATGTTTTGACCTTGTTTTTTCCTTTTGGAAAATGAAATCAAAGTTCACTTACCGGTTACCACCGCTCTTCAACAAGTAAATTCTCTCTCTGTTCTACCAACATAAATTCAACTTTTGGGCCAACATTGATATGAACTAGTCACCAAGAAAAACATATCCAGCTCCCATTAATTCTGATGGGATATTGAATTGATGGTAGTAGTTCCTAATTATAAGATTGATTTTGTACTTGACACTTTTTTCAGTTAAATTTTCTTTTCAAGTACAAACTTATCAATAACGTGCATTTTCTTTCACTGTCATAGTAAGATTGGGATGGATTGCAAGTATATTAGAAGGGACGACATTCAACTTATTAAGTGATGTACATCTAAAAAAAATGACGTCGTTTTATAGTTGATACTTGATTAAAAGTTAGAAGTTAGAGCACAATACAAGTCTTCTCACATGATATTAACTTTGTAGTCATTATCAGTTTTGGAAGTCTCAACGACATGATTTGGAGTTGTCGTTTCCACGGCCAACCTTTTTGAATTGGGAGTGGTTTCGATTTTGATTACGATTAATAATATTATATACAAAACCAGCTCAAATGTGTGCCCCCGTAGGCCAGTTTTGCTATATTTTATTATCGTTTTTTTTAATAAAAAAATAGAGAAAATTGGAACCTAACCATTTATTTCTTTTTCTATATAAAAAATGTGTTTTTTTAAAAAAAGTAAAAAATCCAGCAGTCGACAATATTGGGCTTCAAGTAAAGCCCAATATTTTAGCAAATATGACAATGGTTAGCCTGACTTCAAGCCTGCTTAGCTCAATTTACGTAACATGTGGGGAACTGGCTATGTTCAAACCTTCCATCTAGAAATTTCATTTCCTAAGATAAATTTAATATGTATTTTTTAAAATATCACAGCTCTAATTTTATTTAATATAGTATAAATTTGATTTTTATTTATGTATTTTACCTTACATTTAAGAAGTTAATTTGAATTATGGTATTTTTGTTAAATTTTTATTTGAAAAAATATATTTATTTTATGTTATATATATATATATTTTTTTTTTCTCTTTTGAGTACTATGTTTTTTATATAATTACCTCTAGATTTTTTTAGTTAGCAAACGGGAAGTAGAGAATGGAACCTTCTATTTTATACTATTTGTAATTTTTTATTTTGAGTAAAACATGTGTTGCTCSGAGATTCGAACTTACGCCCTTCTAATTGGACATAACTATTTTAACTAGTTCACMTATGCTCAAGTTGGCATATAATTACTTATTAGAAAGTAATTGTTTTTTAGATTACAAGTGAAATTGTCAATTGTAATTAGTATTAATTATGTATCTCCAAAAACCAGTTTATAATTTCATAATAAGGGAGTTTGATTGAACACACACAACACATCTACCTCTTTAATATTTTGAGAAAAATAAATATTGGCATTAATTACGATTACGAGAAAATACAACTGATCTCTTGTGGCTTTTTGATCCGATCCACAGCCAAAACAAAGTTCATCGTCCATGGTAAAAACAAAGACAGCACAAAGCGAAACATKAAAAAATACGACACACATAGATATGGCCAATCTTAACTTTATCAAACCCTAGGCAGTCACTTGATTTAAATTTGTCCAATCCCTCATCTTCCGGTGCCCTAAAACGTTTCATTCCTGCAAAATGGGAAACCCTACAAATCATAAGCCTCAGCTGCTAAAACAGTCGTCATTTCCAAATTACACATCAAATTGTGTATATGTATGTATATATATATATTGTTTCCTTACATTGTTGTGAGTACCCGAAACCGACCCCGCAGCTGAATTCGGAATGTACCTTGCCCACTGTTATGTTCCAACCAAATGAAATATTAACAAATGATTACCAAATGCCTATAAAATTTAATTAAGGGGTGGATCATATTAAGAGACGTAAGAATGATTTATAATATAGGTGGACTACTGCTACTATTGTTAATTGATTTTGAAATGAAATTTTATGAATATTGATATTAACGAGATTTTTGAAAATGAAACAAAAAAAAGAAGCTTGATTATTTCGTACGTTCTTTGCTGCTGCACTGAATGCTTCTCGATGTGGTATTTCTGGGTTGGCAGCTTTGATACGTTGAATCTCCTCTCTAACATGACAATATTATATATGGTTGTATAAGACTTCATGTGAATTAAAGTTTCAATTTTTCTGATTATTCAAATATAAATTTACTTACTTCATGAAACGATTGTAAGCAGATGGGAGTCTGTGTTTCTTCTCAGGGGCTGCAAAAAAATAAGATAAGATTGGACCCAAAAAAAGAAAACATGCAAATTAAGTGAAAACTTAAGAATTTGAGTTAATTTTAAGTATGATTAGCAGGACCGCTTGATAACTACTTTGTTTTTCGATATTCTGCAGGTTTTGAGCATCAATTAAGCTCGTAAATGCTATTTCCATGTATATGTTTCTAAGCAACCTCAAGGGTTACCTACGTTTCACAACAAAACTTGGAGAGGGAGACTCATTCGCCATTGAAGACGATGTCGATGTGGACGATGTCGATGCACCCTTTCGAATATCATTGGAGAATCCCACCTGCGTCTGCTCATTACAATGCTCCAAAAGGGTTTAATAATATATCAATTTAATTCATTTGTTCGACTATATAAAAAAAGACAAAATAATAATAATAATATTTATAGTTGACCTGAAAACCCAGAGGATGATCAATGCATTGGCCTTGCAATGGCGGCCTCGTGCTCAAAAATGAAAGGTTACTACAATGACCACATTTCACTGTCACTGTATCCAGCAAACGTCTGCATGGAATCCCAACCTTCAAAAAAAGAAAAACCCAACAAAAAATTTAGCCAACTTAAGCATTATAAACACAGATTTTTCAATGATATGATGAGTAGTTTTTGGACGTAAATGAATTAATTAAATTGATGAAGACAAAGGGAGAAGGAGGGGTTACCGCAAGAACAGTGTTGCAGAAGTTGCATCTCACATAACAGAGGTGCTCAGAGGGCTGAACCAAATCCATGGAAGTTTTGGAGTCTTCGGAGCTCATTTAATTAATAATAAATTTGTGGGATGAAGAAGGTGTTGAGAGTTGAGAGTTGGGGGGCAGCAGATATTTAGGTTTTAGGGTTTTTTGAAATGATGATATTAAGAAGAAGAGAAGGGTGAATGAATGATAATAAAGGGCAAAGGGGATGGGGGATGGGAGAGAAGTGTTTGGGAATAGAGTCAAAAAGCAAATCTAGTGTTACCATACTCAGCATCGTACCTTGCGCTGCACTTTTTGCAGACCCATCAGCTCCACCAGCCAAACCCTTCAACCAAAATTCACAACACAAACAAACAAAAATAATAAAGCTTGAGATTATTTCTTTTCATGGCCAAGGGGTGCCAACAATGTCTCTCAAGAGTCCCGTCCCTTGGTTCGAAGATTTGATTTCTATTGTAGCAATTGTTGAAGTAAATGGAAAAAACGAAGTTAGAAAAAGATGATAGTGTAAATGGAGGACATCTTTCTTCTTTGAAATGAAATAAAATCATATTTACTATGGAGAATGAGAATCAAAATTCCCACAAGATCTCATTCTCATTAAATTTTTTATCCAAATTCCATAAAATTTCTAGTAAATTATGAGAATCAAAATTCTCACAAGATCTCATTCTCATTAAATTTTTTTATCTCAATTCCATAAAATTTCTAGTAAACTAAATAACATCGAAGAATAACATTTTCATTCCGATTGCTTTTCATTAGGATTCCTTCTCAATCCGATTGGATGGGTTCATTGTTCTAATAAATGATATCCTCTTTAAATGCCAAACAAACTTGGTTCGGGAGCAAAATTTTAAACGGTTGTGACAAAGAGTGGTTAACATATCGATTATTCCACAATATGATTTGTGGTCGAGCTTTATATCTAACATGCCAATGTAGTCTAATGAGAGGAGTTAAGCCTAGATATATAAGAGCAAGTTTTCGACGTGATCAAGATTTGATGGATAGATGACTATTTGAGGGAAGACTTGGTCATCTTTTGCTCAATAGGAGAATTCAAAAGATTGAGAATTGTTAGGAGTACAAACTATGAGAACTTAAACTCAAAGTTCCATATCATATCATCGTGAAAATATGAGAAGATTGGTATTCCAAGCACATGATCAAAATTAGATCAAAATACCAACAAATCTAGATCATAATGGGCCAAACCAAAAATAAAAAAATAAAAAATTGCTCCTAGAACGAGGTAGTAGCTAGTAAAGTTAAGAAAGAATCATAATCTTTCAACCAATTAGATGGTCTCAAAAAGTTTTGAAAACAATAGCAATTGAAAAGAGAATTAAAAGTGTTTTGATAGTTCAAAGAAAGGACAGTTTTTGGTGGACAAGTCATGTTTAAAAAAATGATGGAAATATTAGAGTTAGATGATGGAGAGGGAGAGGGAGTTGATGAATGAAGTGAAAAGATGGTTAAAGAGAGAAGCGGGTGTGCGATTGAATGGCTCCTTTTGTGGGTGCAATGCTAAACAAGGAAACTTGAAAAAGAAAGACCGAAAAAGCAGTTGTCACAATCCCACAGCCACAGCCACAGCCACAGCCATAGCCACAGCCATAGCCAGCCGGGAGAGAGCTGCCATTGCAATATATTGATCATGATACGTCCATTCCCCATTCCCCAAAACGGCAACCATGCCATTCTTCCCCTTCAATTCTCCACCTTTCTTTGCTGGTATAACTCTGTACTTCCCCCCAAGGCCTTTCCAATTAATCAATCCTTTTTTCTTTTTTTCTTTTGTTTCTACTGCCCACGAGATTCCATTCCATTCCATGCACCACTTGTTTCCTGTGCATGGTTGTGTTTTTTAACGTTTTTACACATAAAACCCACTAAATCTATTGTCACCTCACCCTCTGTACCCATATTGGGGAATCTTTTGATTTGACATCGCTCGCTGTGGCTGTGGCTGGGATGTTGGGAGTTCTTGGGAGACAATTAATTAATGGGGGAAGATCAGATCAGCTTCGTCCCAATTTAATTTAATCTCCCACTTCTGCTCTCATGATCATAATTTGGAGTTAAAAAGTTTAAAACTTATATTTGATTTGAGGTTTACTTCGTTCAAGCCTAACGAATAGTTAGAGCGAAGTAATTGAATCGCATTTCTTCTGTTTATGACCCAAGAAAGGGGCTAAAATGATATTGTGTTTATTAATCTAGACCCGACTGATCATTCACTTTGATTCTCTACTAATTCTGAAGTCCTGGATAGTATCATCTTAATTACAACTATTTTTGATACGTAAGTCGTCCATTACATACAAAATTATTTTATATGATTGTGAAATTTTATAACCCATGTGTAATATAACTTTGGGGTGTGTTAAACCAACTCTAATTTTTATATACTACAAATAATCTTTACAAAATCACCAATTTCCACAAAAATCAACTCTTACAAACTATTTTTTATTGTAATCTAAACATAGATTATATATGTACAAACCCATATAACAGACTTCTTGTAAACTATTTTCTCGTAATAATCCAAACATAAACTATACAAACCCCTTGTTTTTGCTTAACCCAATGGTAAATCAAATATATTCTTATTAATTGTGTATTAGTAGACATAATTTAAATCATTCGTCAAGTATCAATGACTCAAAGCTCAATTGTTGTTTGATATACCTTTCAATGGCACCTTATTTGTGAGTTATGGTTGGTGTGATAATTCAAAGTTTTAAAAAATCAAACCTATGTTTATTTATAATTGCAAATATAGATTTATCTACACCGGTAAATTTGTTAATCCGACACACACATGTATTCTTTAAACGTAAATCTATACAAATTTAGACTGTCTGACTTCACATTTCATAAACAAAAACTTGATATAAAAAACCGTGAGTTATACATTCTCATAAATCTTCAATCGAGGAGATGGAATGTACGGGTAAAAACAAGAGAGAGAAGGGCTGAAACAAAAGTAACTATAGAGTGTGACCATCCAATAATTAATTTACATGGTAAGTACTATGGCAAATAATATTAAAAAAAGAAAAGAAAAGAAAAACTATGGAAAAAAAAAGGCATCTTTTCTGATTAGCATATTGTAGATGAGAAATAGCCTATGTAATCTAGTATTTATAATTATAAACAAACATATATAAGTTTGTTCAAGAAACATGTTCTCATGCTTGTCCACATTCTTGAAACTTGTAAGTCAAATTGCTACAACCTTGATGTCAAATCAGTCAAAAGTATCTCACATTTTCCGTAAATGTTCGAAAACTCTCATAATTTTCTAATGTGTTTTTATCAACACCATCAAATAAAATAAATAAATAAACTAATTACGATAACGTTTTCAATTTGCCAAAATTATTTACTAATTAAATGCAATTACTTTAGTAAATGCGCGGATTCTATTTTTACTTGTACTTTATAGAAAAAAAATTAAAATAGTATAATCTAATATCATACATATTTCGTGTTCATCTAAAAAGAGTTGCAAGAAAATCCCTTGAGCTATACTCGATTTGACAATTTCATACCAATACTACTACTACTGTTGTCTGTAATATAGTTTATAAGCCTGGTTATAATCTCCAACCTTTAAAAAATAAACAAGATATCTTAACCATTAAACAATGTTCTTAGTTCTAAATTTTCCAAAAGATTTACTGCAATAAGTTGCCAATTCCTATTTTAAGGTCACATAATAGAGTAGCTGTTCCTAACTAATACGAATTCATAATTTTGAATTGAGTATTAAATGTTAATATGGTTTTATAATAGCACGTCAATTTATTTTGGTTTTAAAATAAAGTAATGTTAAAATAACATCCAGTCGTTGTAGTATAGTGGTAAGTATTCCCGCCTGTCACGCGGGTGACCCGGGTTCGATCCCCGGCAACGGCGAGATTTTTATTTCAACTTTTCAAAAATTTCAATTGAAGGAGGAAAAGAAAAAACCGCGCATTGTGGACAAATGGAGGGAAATTTTCAATTTTCAATCTTCGTTTTTCCCCTCTCGATCGATCCATCTCTGTCTTTGCTGAAGATTCTAAATTTCTAATGGCCAAACACTCATCGAACCTGATTCTCCAATGATTTCGATCGTTTTATGAGTTATCGTGTTTTCGTTTCTCCTCTCTATGACAATCGCGAAGAAAACGCAGCACGCAGGTCTGGAAATAATTTAAATCGGAGCCCTGTTCAGAGCATTACAGTGGACCATGTGAGAAGTAGTGCAGCCGCTCTAGGGTTCGATTTTCTTTAACTCTGCATCTTTCGATTTACTTATCAGTAATTGATTTATGTGTTGCCGTGGTAGTGGTAATGCTAATGCACACTTATGTTGCCCTTTCGTATGAGATTTTTCGCAATGCTTGTTCATAATCAGTTGTTTTCTCTTCAAGTATAAAGCATGTGATGCATGCTGGTAGCATTAATTTGTTCTGTTTTGAATTCTATTGTTTACTATCTGACACGGTCGCCTTGGCCCTTGTGAAAGGAATTTTGTTTTCCCGATGTGGCTCGATATAACTACAGCAACTGCTCAAAAGCATGAAATAATTGAGATTCATGTTAGATTCGGGAAGGGATGTCCTTAGGCCATTTAAAATTACGGTTCTCACATTAACACTTTTTTAACAAATTTTAGATATAGGCGATTTTACATTCCCAACTACCCCTGTCGTATGCTTTTTGAACCATTTAATTCCTTCAGTTATATATTTAGCATATCTTGCATATGCCCAAATAATTATCTTATTAGATTTTCACATCATTTTAGCGCTGTTAGGCTTATTTCGTTTTCTATTCTTTAAGATGAAGGTAATTCAGTGGGAGGAGGAAATAATAGTCTACTTTCTGCACAATCCATCCCATTAAAAGTTTCCCCTTTCTTATTTACCTATTTATTTCTTGCAACCCCCAATTATGCGTTCTGCATTATTTTTCTGCTGTGTTTTACTAATTGGTAATTCAGGTATCTGCCGACATGACTGATCATGATTTCATGTTTATTGGCTATCTATTTTTGGAAAAACTAGCAAGAACGTTTCCTTAGAATAATCCCAAGTATGTAACTCCTAAGTCCTAAGAATCAACCAAATCGATCTAAATGCAATATCATGTATAGAATAAACACAAGGATTTTGCTTCTATTGCTTTCTTGTGGAGAAATATATGCGACTGGTATTGTTGATTGACCAGGAATAGGAGCATAATATTCCGTTCTCTTCTTCTAAATGATTGCCTTGAAGATATTTTGTTACTGTAGACTTCAGTGCCGTTAATTTTAAGTTGGAAATAGTGGTTATAGATTTTCCTCTGTCTATAAGTTGGAGGTTCATAATCCATGCAGATTCATAAATTTTTCCAAAATGGAAAAGGACTACAATTTTTTTTGGGACTGTTAGCCTAATTTCCCAAGTTTGGATATGTACCTTTTAAGATTATTTGATGATACTGCACAGAGATGTCTCTGAGGGAAATAAGATTCTTCCTTTGCTCAAATTGATAATCGGACTTAAATCACAACTTGTTAATTTAATCAAGACAGCCAAAGTCATTATGAGTTTATTAGCTAATCTTGACATATCAAAGTTATAGGCCTATATTTTTGAAGTATGCTGTGAAGTGAAGTTGTTCTTTGCCATGTCAAATGCATTTTTGGTGGATAATCGTGGTTCTTTGGATCAACTTATGTGTTGTGCAACAGATATCAGAGGACAACCGATTTAGTCTATTTAATATCTGGGGTTGGGAAACTGTTAAAATACTTGAATAATATTTAATATCTTAGGTAAAGACCATCATAGTTTCAACATGTGACCTCTATGGTATCAAGGTTTATAGCTTCCTTCTTTGACCACCCAGCTAAGTCACAGTGTCATGTTATATGTATTTAAAGTAACACACATGATCTATTACATTAAAAGTTAGCTTCATGAGAAATATTCAATGGTTCAATAAAATGAATGTTGAGATTTCAAGAGACGGGTGGTATTTTAATACGTAAATTAAGACCTCAGACGATGAAAGAATTATTGTAGGCTTTGGAAGATAGATTATTACGAGCTATACTTGGTGTTTTCAAGTATCCACTTTAAAAGAAACTTGGCTAAAGCTACCTAAATGCGGTTGGAGTCAAGTTATTGATGTGAGATGAACCCTATTTCTTGGAGGAATTAACACTGGAGAAATAATTCAGAGAAGGTAGGCCAATGTGATGCTTAACCCAAAATGATGTGTTTTTTGTTGTTAAAGTGGAGAGTCAAGATTACCTGTCCTTTTAGTCTCTACTGATTGAGCACCCACCTTAGAATGTTTGGTACGAACTGGGTTTGCTAGTGCCAGGCTAAGGATTATATCAGGTACTTATCTATGGGCATAGCATAGGCTTGAAAGACATGGCAGAACTCTCTTGATGGATGGAGTAAAGGATTTGCTATGGGAGCTTTGGCTGGTCGCCAGAAGATAATAAAGAGAAGGAAAAGGTGGAATTGTGGGACTTGCCAAAATTTGTTGCTTATAATTTCTCCTTTGCTAAACTATTTTGTAAGCAGTTCTTGTTCTTGGTGCAGTTTTCTATCAGCTCTTTTGGTTGGGGACTTCTCTCTTCTTTTGCAATGCTGACCATATTAATTAGAAGCTCTGTGTCTTACCAAAAAAAATAAAAAAGGACAAATGAAACTGAAAGTCAAGCTTATGAAGGTGTAGTTTCATCTTATACCCTAGGTCACTTTTTGAAATTGTAAATCAGAGCATATGCTGAGAAATGCATCCATATGTTTTGTTTTCAATTGCCCTCACCCTCATCATTTATTGCCCTACGCCATGAAATATGGAACTAGTTAACTTTGTGCCACACACCAATCAGGCCTAAGATATGGAACTGGATGTTATTTTTGGAATCACGTCTTGCGTAAGTCAAATGGTTAATATGATTTTCGTTGTGTAACTAGCGTCTAAAACACATCAATTATGTTTGTTTTGGGGAGATTTCAAAGTATGCGCTGATTTCAAGGTCTCTACTTCAAGCGCGTCAGTTTTTTCATTAATTGATTCTACCCTATTGGTTTAATTGGAAAAGAAAATAAAACTTTCATCAACATTAGTCCAAGGGCATATGTTAATCCGATGTTGGATGCAACAAATACAAGTGTCACGAAGAACAATGGAGAGTGCTCATCATTCCTGCAGCAGGACACTGCCATGTGGCTGTTTTTCTTGTTATCCAAATCAGATTCTGATGTTTCAGAAAACTATTGACCAATTGATTATAAGAGATTGATTGGGATCGTTGTAGCTAGCTCTACTTGCCAATTGTATGGTTCAAAATTTGAGAAGGTAAATCAAGCATGTCATGTCAACCAAGCAGATAAGATATAGGTATATAGGTAAGTAACTACATATATGCATTTAGAGATCCAGTTGGGTAATCAATATCATTCTCCACTTCTATCAACTCAGCTTAATAGATTGCGTAAACTTGTATCCCAATTTGATTTTACACTTGCAATGTGAACAATGTTCAGATTCGATCAGCCTGAATTGACAATAAAATAGCAATATTTCAGATGGAGACTAGCAAGAGGTGTTTCTTGAGAATGATGTGCAGTTGTGCAACATATCTAGTGCAGAGGATTCTTTTTCGAAGTCAGATCATCATCAATGTGCTAAAGGAGGTAATAGGAACAGAATCCGTTGTAGCAAAATAACATTATAACCAAATATTTATCATTTCCCTTCTTTATGAAGTCTATTAGGTTTATGCCTCTGATGTTAGAAAAATAGATCTACCCAATTTTAAGAGGTTAAGTTATTTTAAAGGATTGGTACTTTACCGTGACATCGAACATGTTGGGTAGAGCACTAAAGTTGAAAATAGAGGGGAAGAACACAACTCTTATCTCTTAGGCTTTGAATAATGTGCTTGTTCAAAGTAGTAATTTAATTACCTCAACTGTATGTATCTTTAGCCTTTTTTAGTATAAGCTGATGTGATGGAACATGGAGGATAGCAAAATCCAATGAGATCTTGTTATTTCACAAGTGTCCTGTGCCAGATGTGAATTAAACCAATTAAAACAAAGCATCACTTTGAACTCTCATTTGGATTCTCCTACTCTGTAATCCCATTCGTTAATTGTTCACTGATCTGGATTTAAGGACTACTATACACTAGGGATAATCGGTAGCAAAGTTGGATTGTTGAAAATCCTCAAGCTTTAACTTCTATTTTAAAAGAGGGAAAAGTAGGGTGCAAATTTATTGGCAGTTTTGCCCCCTCCAACATGTAACATTGAATAGAAGAGCAATCAATGAAGAAGCTAAAAGAAGAGGCATCAACTGTTTCGGAAAATACTTGGTACACCAAAGTACAAGCATTGGGCAAAGCTTATAATTGCTGGCAGCAAGGCTTTTTGTCTCAACAAACAAACCTCTTACCTTACCACTTGCCCTTGTCGACAATCTGGGAACCGACTCATTGAGAAACTGGTCAAGCTACAATAAATTTAAATATTAAAAGTAATCATATTTAAATGTTCCAAAACTTCAAAGGTAAGATTCTTTTCTTCCTCCTGTTTTTGTATTCGTAGGATTTTGATTTCTATCTTCGCCTTATTCCCTTGGTTCAGAAAATTAGGACAAATTTGGAGAATTCTGAAACAAAAATCARATGTCATTGGAAATAGGAACTCACTGGTTCAATTCCAAAGTTAAATAAAGAAAGAAGGTTTTATCTTTTTCGATGGAGGAAATTCCTAGACCCATTTGAGGGTGGGTCCTTGTAGGCCCCAATCCCACGAAAATTTGACATCTCTAATATTGATGGTAAGAATTGACCCCCTTACAATTTTACCAATAAATACATCAAATCTTTTTACCAGGGGCTAGGACAACAGTTGAAAGCAAGTCTCGAAGAGTCACCTAAGTCGGAGATAAGCTCATGGAAGCTTCCAAGAGTCATCAGCTCTTGATCAGTAAGATCCAAGAAACGAGCCATAACATTAGATAACTATTACGAGAGGTCTTATCACCATGGGCCAAGCCATCAGCTATGCTTATCCACTTGGCATTAGAAAAAATGGACATTTGACATTTTTATATGTAGAGGGCAAAGTAGTTGGATTGGAACTTTTGAAATCAGCATTCCAGTAATGTCATCCCTGTAGCTAGAATATCGAATCCACTCTTCAAAACAGTCACCATCTGGAAAGCGATTGAAGATGTTGATGGCCTATTTTCTGACTCTTCCCCACAGAAACTAGGCTTTGAATTTATGTGGTTAATGTGATGTCATAACCAATGATAGGATTACCAAACTCTTCCCCACATTTTTACAACTTTATAGACAGAGAGAGAGAGAGAGATGAACTTAATAAATCTGTGAAGGCTGCTTTTTACAAACTTGCAATGATGCTTCTGCCGGCTTCAACATATACATAGCACTATAGCAGTAACTGTCCTACAAAACCATCTGCTCTTCGCTGAGACCTTAGCTTATTTAGCTCTGCTTACAAAATGAAAGGAGAATCACGCTTCTCTCATCACTCCAGCAAAGAAATGAGGAGAAGGCAAAATGTAGATTGTGACCCAAAACAAAAAGGAAGGGGGTGAAATAAAATGTGGGATCGAAATGAAGGGGTGGGATCCATAACTGCTGAATCCATCAACTACATACAGAGGTACACTTCGACGAGAACAGCTTGGTTAAGCCTACTCGGAAAACTGGTAATTGTCAAGTTTTGAAGCGGCAAATTTATCCAAAAACCACGCCAACTTCCCTTTCCTTGGCTGTACCAACCTTGCAGGTAGGAGCAGGCAGTCTGCTCCTACATCGTCGATGACCAAATGCACAGTCTCTGCTTTGTTTTCGCCTGTCACAACAATTGCCACATTGGATGCAGAATTGATCACAGGCAATGTGAAGGTGATCCTCTCGGGAGGAGGTTTCGGGGAATCGGTAATGAAGGCAACCCATTCCTCTTTTTCTTCGAGCACCGAATGATTAGGGAATAATGAAGCAACATGGCCATCAGAACCCATTCCAAGAAGTATGAGGTCGAACTTGGGACTGTCACTGACATCAGACACACTTACAATGCGGGATTTAACCAACTGTCGGATGACGAACTTGTACTCATCGGCAGCTTCCTCAGCTGACACCGAATCATTGATTGAGTGGACATGGCTGGGAACAATTGGCACCTGGTGATGCAAATAGAACAGGTCATTAAGCTATGTAGGTAGGTTGACTTGAATTGCTAGCATCAAAGTCCAAAATAACCATGTTTTAGAATTGTTGAGTGCAATTGTTAAATCATTGCACAAGCTATGATAATATTTGCCATTAAACACAAAGCTTTGCCACTTTGGAAGAGAATTTATTCATCTGTGCTGACTAGCAGTCTTAGTTGAAAGACTGCCATATGGTAAGATTACGTAGTTCTACCACAAATGATGAAACTAACACATGTTCACAAGTCTGGAAATAGCGTACTGTATGACAATGGAAGGCAAGGTATGAAGAATGAAATCATGCAAAAACTTGTCCACCGAGATTCTTAGCATTCGACGGTCCCAAAAATAATATTAAGTACTTGAAAAGTCTCTTTCAATTGATGGAAAGAAAAAAAATGCCTTCTCTTCATTAGCTTAGAGTTCATGAAATCATTTAGGTTTTTGGGCAAGAGGTTTTCAGCTCACTTTACTGACACTCTCTCCATCCCAAAGTCCATTTGGGAGAGAGAGGATGGGAGAGGGAGGACTGCTAACAAATGATGTAAACTAGTAAACTGATTTTAACATTTTCAAAAGTTGAGATTTGTAGTAATAGGACATGGTAGAGGGATGTATTTGCAATGTCATTTCCTCCCTATTTTATTAAACATAATGATGTATATATCAGGCTATGTAAATCAAAATTTGGGCCCTACATGTAAAGGAGAGTTGAAAACTTCAACAATTCAGTGGTAGTTCAACAGAAGTGCAATATTGAGCTGCAGACCAAGAAATCCTGTCATAATTATCAATTTCGGTGATAACTAGTGAAGCTACAGCTATTTATTTAAAGACGGTGAGGTAAATCGTCAATGCTGAAAATATTGGCCACCATGTCCATAGAAAGAGAAGAAAGGCAATCAAATGACTACAAGAAAGAAGTAGAGACAGGAAGCTACTCTACGTTGAGTTGAATGGAAGTCTTTTTATATCTTCAAGGCAAAAACTATAATTCCAGAATAGAATAGATCTATCATTTCATCCATATTTCATATGTTATATTGAACTTCTAATCAGGGAAGGAATACCTAGAGCAACTTGGTACTTTGTTTGGTATTTAAACTGGCATCTAATTGCCCAAGGATTTTTATGAACTAACACTTCCTCTGTGAAAACCCATTTAGAGACTCAAAACTTAGCCAGCCTACCATTCATGGAAAATAAGCTAAGGAATGATTACTTAGTAGTTTTCATTTCTCTAGAAGCTTGATATCAAATTTAAGCAGAGCCATAATTCCAGATCACCAAGAGCATTTGCAAATTTTAGCATGCCACATCAAAGTATATATGAAATAGAGCATTCTTGATCCCATTGAAGAGACTAGAGCATGAAATTTCCCCGTTTTTCCAAATGAGTAGTTATCGGATCATTAACGATTCGATTCCGAGGGTAGCCTCAGTCCATATTAGGATAGAATCAGATAAATCTCAACCTAGATGCACAGCATTTGTCATGCATTCAGTAGAAAGACATAATAAGAACTTTCTGAAACATAAGTTGTAAGTACAAACCTTGGACAGAAGGTTAACCTTTGCAAGCTTATAATTGCTGTCGGCATGGGTTTTTGCTACAACACGTTCATCAGCCCAAAATATATACCACTTGGCCCAATCAACAGTCTTGTTATAAGGAGCTTCACAGAGCTTTCTGTTTTCATCCATAAGAAAATTACAGGAAGAAACCAAATCTACAAAATCGAAGAAACCAGAGAAGAAAACGAAAGCCTCCATACCCCATTAGACTAATGAGAGAGCCACCAGATAATGCAATAGAAAACACCCCACGTTCTTTAACCGATGCCTCTGATAATTCAGCAATATAGTCAGCTAAATCAGTACTAAGTTCCTCCAAACTTTCATGGATCTTCAGCTCTCTGTCCCTGTGATCCCCATGTAGAGCCATAATTCAGAAACTCACAAATCCTGGTCAAAAGGAAAGAGAAGAAATTTTACACCATGGTTTGAAATTTCGCAGAGAAGATCAATGAAGAACTTCCCCACTTACAGCCAAATGGGCGTTGAACCAAAATTTGGGGCATTTCAAAAAGTGGATCGCATGCAGTTCTAGAATCTACAGCCCGCAATGACTGTACTAAATATGGAAATTTAAGACACACAGATCAAGAAACATTCACAAACCATGCGACGCCATCACATGAACATCAACATGCACCAAGCTTTAATTGACTACTACACTGTAATTTCAAGGATCGAAAACAGAAACCCCCGATTCGGGTGGATGGCTATGGAGAAGATGGAAAATTAGAAAATAAACCCATATCCAGATCATAAAACGTCAGAATAAACAACCCCATTACATAAGAAAACACATAATATAAGAAGAATAGTTAGATGATGTTTAAGGTTGATGAAACTGCCGCGAGGAGCAGAGCCAAACAAAAATAGGTAAGGATAAGAGGTAGAGAAATTTGCTCACAGAGACTAAAGGAGAAGAATGGAGGGATTGCAGAGAAGGAAGGAACTGACGAAAGTGGAAGATTAGCATTGGCAAGAAATTGATATATAATAATGAGGAAATGTGAGAATACTCTGCAATCCATGTTAATTTACCGATTATAATAAAAGGAAAAAAACTTCACAAGAAGTTGAGAAAAAAGAATTTACCTTCTAGGCTTCCACGTGCATCCAATGATCGTGACGCGAAAACCCACAAAACGCAACACCAACTCTCTCTCTCTCTCTCTCTCTGTAACAGAGAAATCTCTCCTCCACTTTCTCTCTGTAACAAATGGGGAGAAGAGAAGATCCCTTTATCCTCCTAGATCAACTGCAAGAACATCTCAGAGGAAGAGAGAGAGAGAAAAAGAAACCCCAAAAAACAAAGAAAGAAAGGGGAGGGGGGAGAAATCAAAAAATGGATTTTTATTTGGTAAAGAAACAATCTTTAATTACCCAAAATTATATTGAAAACTATTTGTCTGTTCTTTGCTAAAAGAGGGGACTCTTTGAATCCAGGTTAGCCAAACACCTGGACAAATTCAATGCTGACAAATGTACCAATGGTGGTTCTGTCTTGCAACAGTGCAACAATGGCAGAATATTTTAACTCTACCGGTACTTATTAGTGGGATTTATTCTGTGCTTTGTTTTTCTTTTTAAGTCCATCTGCCATGTATGCTATGGTTTTCTCTTTTCACTTGTTTTTAATTTCTCCTTTACAGATCTTTAGAAAAATTCTTCCTCTCCCTCACCACACTCTCAAAATTGCTTTCTGATTGTCCCCCCAAAGCACGCTGATTGCTCTGTCTCATATATCTTCTTTTTTATCCCAAATATTCCTCAAATCAGACCAGGTAATAATACTGTATAGCCATCCCCACAAACACACCCAAACCTTGTACTGTTTCATTATACAAAGATCATATGCTAAAAACGACCATGGAGATTAAATATTTTAGAAGCTATCAAATTTCTATGATCATCATGTTGTGTTTGAGCGGCCAGGATGACCCATCAGAGAAAAAGATAGGTTAAAATGGAGTTTTGCAATAGAGAATTCTGCTAAATTAGATGTTTTGTGTTGGTTGGTTTTTCATTTTCTTTCCTTTTTCCCTAAATCTGCCCTTTACATCAAGCGTTATGCCATTTCAATATTTGAAGTTATTCCTTGGTTGTATATGCCAACTTTATGTCACCTTTCAGAGTGTTTGGCATTGAAGAAATCATGTCAGCCATCATTTTCTTGAGTTTCTCCCATCTCCCTCCACCACCAAAAAAGGAAAATTTRAAAATAAAATACAAGGGGGGGAAGAAAATGATTAAAAGATTATCAAGAGGAAATTGGRATCTGTTGGTGTCATAATCAAGAAACAGTAGGGAGAGGAGGGTATTGTGTTTACCCAACTAATTGAAACCCCACATAATGACAAACCCTACCCCAATTTGAGGAATCTTTAGCATTATCAAAGACTGACATTCATCTGCTGGGGGGTCTCAAATTTTTAACCTCTTTTTGGGAGAAGACGAAGCCATTAAAACCCTCTCCTGCCTCCACCTCCTCAGCAATCTTACAACAAAAAAGGAAACCACTTTTCAACTTGGAGCCATGCTCATAAAACCCATCTAATTTCCCTCTGTGTTGGTATTTTATAACTCTTTTTTTTTTTCAAATGAAATATTGATGTCAACTACAAAACAATGATAGAATTGAATGCATGTTTCATACCATATGAATATTATTTATTCATTATTCTGCTTATTATGTTTCCTTTTTTGATTTGTTTTCTTCTTTAGGTAGCATTGAACAGATTTTTGATATATGTATCAATTGAATGAATGAAAAAATTGAGAGCAAACTCTCAATTTATCATGGTATGAGAGCTAAACAGTTTTTTATTTAAATGAATAAGTAAACTTTTTTTTCATTGATATTTGATTTAATATGTCTCAACATTGACATTTTAGATGATCCATGTCCAACCTAAGTAGCTTTCTAAACTAACTTTTTTACCTTTTTTAAGCCTCCTCTCTATTCTCTTCCTTTTCCCCAAACTGCCCATCCTCAGAATTCTCATTTCTATATTTTGTAAACATTATATCAGCTCTCTTGTTTTCTTTAACAAATATGTTACAAGTAGGAGATTTGAACTTCTGGTATTTTCTTGTCAAGCCATCATCATTAATTTGAATTAACTGCTTAATATTGGATTAGAGTGTTGGTGTAAGCAATATATTCCTTTTCTTATTAATAAGTCATAAGGATAAGATAATATTTAGTATTCTAAACCAATCCAAACTCATATATTAAAGGATAAAAAAAAATCCCAAAACTATAAGGTGACATAAATTCCATAACAATAATGGCAATGCGCAGTGAAAAATCAAAGCTTTGTGGGGTTACAGACTCAAAGCTTTGAATTTCTGAGCATAGGGAGCTAAGCCTACTGCCTCCCAACTGCCAAACACAGCTTTGAATTTGGAAGACATGGCTGCCAGATTCTTTTTTATTTATATTATATATTAATATTAATTTCTCTCCCCACTCTCTTCTTAGCATCATCTTGCCAATAATTTAATTTGTAGATTTGCCTTTTTTTTTTCTAGTTGCTTGTATATTTTGATACATCAGCTCTTTTGACTTTATTAATTAACTAATCAACTAATCATGCTTGTAATTTCTATGAACTCAATTATGGAGGAGAATCTTTTTCTTTCTTTTTTGTCATTTTCTTTTTAATATATTATAATTAATAATAAATAACAAAGCTTCACATTATCCGATGCTATATTAAACCAATTAATTATAGACCATTGTTAATTATTTCTTTTGTAGGTGAAATACAAAGATGAAAGGTATTCTAGAATTAAAAATAATAAAGCGAATTGATTTAAAAGATTAATTTACAAAACAAAATTTTGAGGATATACCCAAAAGGCCCTCTAGTTACTTTAGCTTAGCCTAAATGAAAATTATTATCGTGAAGGAGAATTATCTTTCAGCTATTAGGCCATTGTTTTTACTGCCGTAGGCCCATATGGTGAAATGGATTTAAGATTAAATTGAATAAATATTATTTGGACAACAAAATTGATTGACAATGCACCACGTTGGAGAGTGTTGTACACATTTGGTTTGCTGACAAATTTTCACATTTCATAAATGCTCACTTATTTTTTCTTTTCATTTTGGATAAAATTTCGCTCCACAAAGTCATGAGTAGTGTTCAGTGGCTCAGTAAACATGTGTCAATTTTTTTTCTTTTTTTATTATTTTATTAGAGCTCAATATCTCGTCAAAATCTCCTCATTTTTTCTCCCCTCCATTTTTCTCTCTCTGAATGTCTCTCCATTTTTTTTAGGAATAAGAGTGATAGTCCAAATTCACAATCTTCTGAATTAACAGTTACCTCCATTTTGGCGATCTCACCTCCATTTTTTATCTCTTTGTTTTTTACTTTTCTTTTTAGTTTCTATTTCACAAAATCACAAACACCTCTTTTATTCATTTGACTTTTAATTTATTGTATCTTTTTTATCTAAATCTATTGTATTTTTTTTATTCAAATTTACTACATTTTCTTTTCCAAATTTATTGTATCTTTTTTTACTATATCTTTTCAATATCACATATTTGTATTTCAAAAAGAATATTTTTTTTCTTTTGTTACTAAAAATTTTTCTTATGCTATTCTCTTTGCAACAAACAAAATTAAGAATTTGTTTCACAATCCAAAGGTATATACAATAGAAAGTTGACATAAGGGTTACTCTTCTCATTGTCAATTGAAAAGAAAATGATCTTACAATGGTTTATAATAAACATAGACTATTTATCTCATTGCCAATTAATTTTGAAATGAAATCTCATGAATATTAATATGATATCAAAGTYCAAAACACTCAAACAAACAATCGGTCAAAAATGAGACCCGACCAATGAGCTAAAATAGCCATGATTTTAAGGAGTATGTTAAAGATCCCACATTGAAAAAAAAAAAAGACCTTGCAATAGTTTATAATGGACATTGACTACTCTCATCGTTAATTGGTTTTGAGATAGAACTCATAAATATTAACATAGTATAAGAGTCTTTACAGGGAAGAGAGGAGACGTGAGATTTTGATGAAATATGAATTTTAATAAAATAATCAAAAGAGGCAAAAAATTGACATATGCCCACATACTATTGAGCCACATGGGGTAGAGTACAATGCTCCATTCAAAGTGAAGTTTTTTCCTTTCCTTTCAAGTAAAAATGACATTATATCGAGAATATATTTTAATTAATTAAACTATGTTAAGATAGACACATATACCCTCACTTCTTTATTAATAATATATCTTTGTTTTCATCCTCCCACAGGCAAAATATGTCCACAAAACCATACTCAAGTTTTTTTTGGAAGGTCAATAACTAAGTTTTAAAAAACTCACATGTGCATAAATAATATAGAAAGCCATGAAAGTAACAAAAATCAGTGTCTTCATAACCATCTATATGGCAAAACTTATGAAGATTTCATCTCACAATGGATCATTCATGGTTCTAACATCCAATCATTTGTGTTTCCAAAAAAAAAAAAAAAAGCTCAAATAATTTAAAATGAAACAATAGTCTTGTAGGAGTGTGTAAGGTTAGCTAAGCGCCCACATTACTTCCTCCCATATTTGAAAAATATTGTCGTAAATTTTGAATTCTCTCCATCAACAAGGATAATCATTTTAAAACTTATAATAAACTAATCAAACGTTAATGGCTAATTTGAAATTATTCCCCACTAATTGGTCAGAGCAAACAAATAGCCAGCCCAATTGTATTCTCCACTAATTGGTTAAACCATAATTAACATCTAGGAACCATCATTTATCGAATTGATTATATGTAAAAGCGGAAAAAAAGGACCCATATTCTTTTGAGAACACCCTATAAAAGCCACACACCACAAAAAAAAAAAAAAAAAATCCATTGACCCTTTTGTTTCCATGATCAGATCACATTTTCAATACATTTAAATTAAAGTATAATGGTAGGGATGTCCAATATAAATAATTAAATTTACTTTAATTCATCGATTTAGTTAAGTAACTTTAATTCATCAATTTAAACTTTTGAATTCATGGGTAGTTTATTCTATCTAAAATGAGATCCTCTATTCAAACTCCCGTGTTGTCATTTTCTCTCCATTTATATTCCTCTTTCCACATAGATCTTGTGCAATTTTTCAAACCCACAAAGGAAGGATTAAAGAAGATGCAAAATACAAATGATTAAATTTACTCTAATCCGTAAACTTAAAAGCCTTTTTAGTTCATTGGTTGATTAATGTTTACGAGTTACTAGATAGAATGGTTCAACACATTACCTAAAAGGAAATCCTTCTCATCTGTTACCTTCTACGTTTTGCAGTTATGGGGTTGAAAATTTTGAAGGTGTTTTTTTTTTCCCAAGACCTCGCTAGTTTCATGAGTGGATAAAGAGGAACGAGCTGTCAGAAAAGAATCCCACTGCCACACGGAAGGAAAACGTGAAGGATTGAAATAAGCATTTATGACCTTTGCCAAAAACTAAAAATAAAAAATGAAATGAGATACCTACATTTATCAACCTCTCTTTCTGCTTTCTACTTTCTACTTTCTACCCCTTTATTAGATTTCTGAGCAAAATATATCACCACCACCGAAATGGCACACCACAACAACAGAAAACAAGCACCTTTACCAATCACATGAATTCTTTTTCCCCCCCTCCCCCAAAAGAATTCTGCTCACCAAGAAGGAAAACAAGATTTAAATTACCCACAGGAACAGACAGGAAAGGGAAAAGAAAAGGGGCATAGATGACATGGGTGATGGAGATGGAGATTCATGAGGGAAAGTATGTTTACCTCAGAAAGCATCTACAGTTTGCTAGATATTTCCTTATCAGAGGAAGCTTGGTCCTGCAACCCTAACAAAACAAGCCAAGAATAAGCCACATTGGAAATATGAACAGCAATAAAATTTCCCAAGTTGTTTTCTTATGACGTCAGGCAACTCTTTATTGAGAAGAGGTGCAAAATGTACAGAAGTAGGTAGTCATGAAAGAGACCTGTTCATGCAGGAACCAGAATGACTACGCTTAAATGGGGTTGGATGACCTAATACGGTTTTTGTCAATTAGTGAAAATGGTGTGTCCAATGCACATGATACCAACATGAATTTCTTTATAAGAAATAATAAAACAACTCAGTGGTCCACTGATCCATAATGGGTTATCTATCTCCACAGCCAGGGGGCCTGCCCAGCATGGCAACATGGACATCTCCTTTTGATTGCCCTACATATCTTGGCTCTACCTCTGTTTCAATGCATCCTGTCATCACAGATGTTGATAAAAAGTATGAAAATCAATATCATTGATACGTTATATATGGTGCCACTATCTCCTCAGAATTATTTTGGGATCCATCTCAAGTATCAAAAAATAAGGGACTGTTAAAACTTTATTAATTTGCGGTGGTTAGCTATAAACAAACAAAGAAGATGGGGTTAGAGTCAGAGAGAACAAAAATGAACTGAGACAAAAAACTTAGAAACGGGGATTGGAGACCAACAGCTAAAAACTTGACTGCTGACTGCGACAACGGCTGAGAAAGAAAAAATGAAAGAAATACAAGAGCAGCAAAGTGTGGTTCAAAATGTCACTGGCCAAAAGCAACTAACTCATTGAGCAGCTAAGTTTCATTCTTAGCATCTATAACCACAGCCATTAGGAAACATTCACACATCGAAATACAATACAAATCGAGTTGATTGAAATTTGAAATTTGTTAAATGCCCCTCCCACCGTGATTGATGATAAGATTACCGTGACTCAGATTTCCTACAAGATAACGTCAACATTGTTCTACTATACTATGTAATATGCATGTTTCAACGTGATTCTCATATAAGAGAWGAAAAACTTAGCTACACGCAAGAAAATAAGCAATTCTACATATTTGTATATATGTTTATATCAACTGGGTCAAAAGTATGTGCAAAACCTGCATATTACCGAACAGAACCAATAGAAATAAATCATATGAGAAAATAAGTGTACACTTTCTAGTACCGTACAACCATGTATTGTTCTTCTAGGAACATACTTTTTTTTTCATTCTTATATTTATTTATTTATAATAGTAGTGATTTCATAATGACGTCACTCTACATTTGACTCTGAAATAAAAATATTTTATTCTCATGATTTATAATTAAAACGGATTTTCTTAAACATTCTTATAAAAAAAATTAAATCAATAAAAACTATGCTGACAAATCAATTAACAATTGCTATCCTCGATCCATGAAGGGCAACGCCCTACTCTTTTCAAGGTTTTAGCATCAACAAACCAAATTCATATTATATGAAGTCAACCAACTTTCTCTTTTTCCATGGCCGTCTAACTTATTAAAACCTACCCAATCAGCTTTTTTCCTGACTATCATGTAAAGACAGCAACCTATCTGTGCTTTTATTGAAAAAATTAACTCCTACTGGGGTGTACCATGCAAGGATATCATAGCCACAACCAAATTATGAATTTTATTGATAAAAGTATCCAAGGTTTTCATTTCACAAATAATGCGCGTGAGCCTCAGATTATGAGATTATCACAGAACAAATTGATAAAAGAAAAATGCTTACATTATGGATGGGGAATGGTGAAAAAGACACTTCCTTTGAGTTACAGAACTTTAACCAATAGAGTAGAAAGAGAAAGGCAACACCAAAAAAGAAGCCTAAGCTAAATAGCAAGTGCAAAAAGAATATGGCAGAAGAGCGAGGATAACAGGGGGAACCTAATGAATGAATATATTATATAACGGAAAACACTCTGCTAGGCCATGAAAACGAATTAGATCAGGGGAAAAAATCAACTTTGAAGTTTAATACAATTGAGAAAGGAAAGATTAGTGTAGGAGCCGACACAAAACAATAAGTCAATGGCACCATTGGCAGAGAAATCCAGTGTACCAAACTCTTACAAAGATGTTAACTCCAAAAGGTGAAAAACATCCTACAAAAAGATAATGCAACAGCTGAAAATAAATTTTCCAAAGAGAAGAAGGCGTACAAATGGAAAATCTCAAGCCCTCAAATGGAAATAATGCTGCTTAAAACTAACACTAACCTCATAAGTACACAGAATACGCATCCTTTCTTTAGGACCCTGAGGTGCTATTTTTCAGCATTCAAGGTAAAGGAATACCTTCTTATGATTTGCATAGGGTAATTCTAACCTCCATTCTTTCTGCTTACGAGTCAACGGCCTACCCTTGCTTAAAGGATCTCGATTTTCCCTTACGTTTGCCAATTTCCAGACACAGCTCTTAGATTCCGTTTCCACGTGATCCAAAATAAAAACTCCATCATTTTCAGTGCCTCCCGGGACTACATCTTCTAAATAGGAAACTTGCATTGGCATGGCTTTAAATCTAAACAGATCATCTGGGACCTTCAGTAATCTCTCTGCACCTGGAGATGATACCTTCACAGCAGAAGAATGCTTGTTAAGGTGTTAACGTATTTCTATAATTTATGCAGCCAAAATAATGTGTACTAAGCAGTTATTTTTGTACAGGGGTAAGGTTGAACGGCAAAGTCTAACCAGCTGTTACCTCAAGAGCTAAATCATCGGGAATCTTTCCCAGTGCCCCAGTTGCACCTAATCTTTTCTTGTACTCTTGGGTATAACTTTCAAGATCCTCCAAGCTTGGACACCCAAATCTAAGGAAGAGATCAATATTCTACAAATTATAAATTTATAAATCCAAGTTAAGACCGCACACAATACTTAATTATGAAATCCAAACTGAATGCCCACCTCAGTTTATTTTCATAGTTATGCAATCATAAAAAAAAAAAAATAATAATAAAAAAAAGACTACAAATAAAAACAAACAGATTTCCAGCAGCATAACTAGAAAAGTTTCAACATTATCAAGTTAGGGACAAAAATTTATCAGACTCAGCCAAACTCATTGAGAAAAAAAAAAGCAAAAAAAATGAAATGGTTATGAAATAAAATTTAAAAGTTTGGAGACGGATGAGTTTGAGGTTTACTATATTTTTTATGTTTATTCAAGACAAGGTTTGAGTTGACTGCTGACATCTCCTACATGCAAAAAGGGCTTTAAATGTGATAGCAAATGGAATTCCCCAATACCCAGAAGGTAGAAAGGACAGCTCTTATGCAGGAAACAGGATGGACAAACAGCAGAAGAAAATTACTCGTTTGAGAGCTTGTCTAATCTGACATAGATATATCCACGGGGAGTAGTCTTAAAGGAATAGAGTTTTATGTCATCGCCAAATTGCAGCAGGACCTCATGAGCAAGAGAGAGAACATGTTCACCCCAAGGCACGCCTTGCAAAACAACACCACCACCACCCCCTCCATCACCAATCTACGTTATCAACAGTCAGCATCATCTATAATAGTAGTAGAATAAAAGCTCAGTTCAGCAGATAGAAATACCTCAGGCTCCATATCATCGTCATCTTCCCATCCATCTGTGGTTTCTCCCCCTTCATCCTTCTCATCTACAAAAAATAAGAGAGTTCATAGATTAAAGCCTCAAGCTATAGGCATGAGTTTAAAAAATCTTTAATTAGAAATTTCAATAGCCAATTTTGGCTGTTAGAGAGCAAAAAAAACCCTGACAAATGTACAGCTAGCAATGAACACTGATGTAAGTATGATAATAAGGAAAACTTTGTACACTGAAGTGTAGGAAGTCTTTCACATCTAATCTATAGTACACCATCACAGTTTTACATTCTACAAAAAATTGATAAATAACACTACAACGACAATCAGTTATCCACATTGAAAGCAACTAGTCCTTGAATAATATTGTAACTATAGAGCTTTTCAAGCATCAGAACTGCATATATATAAAAAGGAACAAAAATCTCAATGAAACTGAAACTAGATAAGGAATTCAACAATTAAAACAATTTATCATGGCTGAATTAAACCGTTCACATTCAGATATTTCACTGAACACCAAACACCATCTCGGCATAAGAAAAGCCATTAATTAATCATATTCCGAACAGAAATTTCGACAGGAACCTCAAACTAAAAGGAAACTAAACGGATGCACGGGGAAATTTATTGTAACTATAAAGCTTTTCAAGCATTAGAACTACATATAAAACAAAAGGAACAAAAATCTCAATGAAACTGAAACTAGATAACAATTCAACAATTAAAACAACTTATCATGGCAGAATTAAACCATTCACATTCAGATATTTCACTGAACACCAAACACCATCTCGGCACAAGAAAAGCCATTAATAATTCACAATCCGAAAAGAAATTTCGACGGGAACCTCAAAATAAAAGGAAACTAACGGATGCACGGAGAATAAGAAAATACATCCATACATTGGAGTGGAATTTGTTCTCTCACTTCATCTTCAAAGTGTTTAGTGGAATTGGTACTGAATAACCGTAGGATTGCGGTGGGAGAAAGTGCAAATGCATGCTGGCGATGGAAATCAACATGACGAGATGAAGAAGAGCAAGAACTTCGAAAAGACCTTGACTCGGCGCAAAAAGCTGCAGAAGACGGCCTTTCGACGGAGGAAATTGAAGAGGAAGTGGCTCGCAACCGAGCGCGATGTAGGAACGTATGAGCAATCCTATTACCACTCATTCTCATTGTCTTTTCCTCCTCGATTCTCCGATGGATGCTCGCGGAAATGAACGCTTCAAAGAAAACTTCAGAGTACAGACGCCGCTCGAATCCTTTTTGGGCTTTCGCGGGGTTTTTCCTTCCTGCCAAAATTACAACCCTCACCCGCACCTAAGAATATTTTAGTACAGAAAATTGCACTCGTCATTCTATGCGTGTAATCTCAAACTTCAGGTTCTAATTTTACGGAAATATAATAAAATGTTTTAGTGTAGATAGATATTGCGGCAAAAATTATAAAAGAAAAAATTTGTAACAAATATTTAAATTAATAAATAAATATATCACACTTCTAAAAATGTTAAAAAATTATTAATATCCCCATTATGTCTATATTAGATATATTATATTGATATATTTTATATTTTGTTGATTGTTTGTGATACTATGAAAATGTTGTTTTACTTCTCAGGTCAATGTTGAACTAATGAACATATACAAATAAATACTATACTCCCTTTCAAAATTGTCAAGGTAAATTGTTTGAATAATATGTAGAATTGGAAGTTTGAATATCCAATCTTTTGATCTAAGATGTATATCTTAATCCGTTGAGCTACGTTCAAATTGACAATATATTTCTACTAGGTAAATGTCATTATTTTAAAAAAAAAAATTGCACATTTAACCTTTTCTTTTTTTCTCCTTATCAGGTAGAAAAGATATTTGTAGAATTGTGAATGTTATATTCAAAGTATCCATAAATGTCTAATGTAACACATGTTCTATGGAAAGAACAAAAGAAATAAAAATAAAAGAAAAAAGAAAGGGTAGACTCACAGAGAAAAAATGTGAAATTTACGAAATTAATGTTGGGAGTGATGATCCAATATCAATGCTTCATCTTATATTCTTCTTTCATTTACAAATTACAGATGTGGTTCAAAAAAAAAAAGTTTACAAGTTACAGATGTGTATGAGATTCTCACTCTAATCTTGCTTGTTAAACGATTTATAAAATGACTACCTTTTACTCAATTTATAAAAAGAAAATCTAATACCTTTTACTCAATTTATGAAAAGAAAATCTAATGTACATTGAATAATACTTGACATCAACTGTACGGACCAAAACGAACATAGCTCAACAATAATGGATATATACTTCTAACTAAGAGGCTGTGATTTTGAATTCCCTCTCACATGGTGTGTTAAAAAAACATATAATATATATAAATACAACTGTCCGCATACCATCTTGATTATAATTTTTTTCTTTTTCCTCAAAAGAGAAGAAAAAAAAAAGATAATAATTTTATTCCTTGCTAGTTATTAAGAATTTAAGAACAAAACTGATTAATAAAACTCCAATTACCAAATTAACCCTTGCAAACTGCTCTCCATCCGTGCACGTCCTGCTCATTAAAGTAATTTCTTCAATCCTAAGCTTAAATTAGCTTCCAACCTTATATTCGGGGATATATATTTTAATTTGTTGAGATGACCGTTTAAACTTATTGATGAAGAAACTGCTTCACTTACGGTCACTGCGAGGATGACATTGATCATACAGATGAGATAATGGCAGGTCAAAGACAATTTTCCAGTCAGTATATACCCATAAATTGTGCAAAACAGGGTAACCAACCAAAAAACTGCAGTAGTAATTTTTATAAGAATAAACAAAATGACAACACAAGAAAGCATAATCACTCGACTATTTTCATGCAAATGCATATCAAAAACAGAGAGTTTGAATACATTTTGAAGGATGCAAAAGATAAAAACTAACTTTCGCTTCCTGGAGCCAAGTTGGAGTGGGAGGAAAGCAAACAATAACAAAAGCGCAGGAGAGCAGAATGGCATCACCCTTTATCTACAATCGGAGGATAGTTCTAAGTGTATCGCAAAGATTTTGAATGGTTTGTTGTTCTTGTGTCGCCTGCAACTCCTGGAGCGGCATATCTTCGTAACACCTGCAAGAAATCGTCCACTCTAAAATTAAAGACAGGCAAGTGGAATGTGGAGACACCAGAAGGAGCTTATTTCATATCTAACCTCCCCAGGGAAGAAAAGAAATCAGTTGAAACTTCAGGGGTAATGCATCTAAGAAAGGTCAGATGCATGCCAAAGGCTTAGCAGGAACCGAAATAGAAACAAAAATGACGTCTTTTACTTCAACCATTTATTATAGAAAGAGATATGCCGACAACCATGAGTTTTTTGGAGAAGAAACGACCATAAGATAAAATGCAAATATGTGTACAAATGGGTACTGAGGTCAAAGAACTGACCCTTACACACACAGAGCAATGGAGAGGGCCGGTGTTTGAGCAGGATATTTGTGTGTGGTTCAATTATTAGGAGACTAACTAATACTGGTAGTGCTTGTAAAATAGAAAAATAAATAAGATGACTTACATTCTGTGGTAAGCTAAAGCCTGGGCAAGGTTCAACAGTGTGGGACTTGAAGTAAGTCTTTGATAAACACTGGGAGGAAGGGGCATCTGCAGTGCAAAAACATGAAAAAAACAGATGTTTTAGTGGTTCAGAAGAGACCAATACGGAATCAGAGAAGTCATGGAAGGAGAGATGCAAGTAGAGAGAAACCTCATTTTGTCCCCTACGACCCTTTCTTGATTGTCCATCGCCAGTGAAAAGTTCCTGAATTGTCTCCACCTCTACAGTTCCCCTATTATATTGTTGCTGCATGCCTCCAAGGACATTGTCCGATAACAAAGCAATAGGGGATATATCAGTAGCCCTCAAGAACGGAATGGGTACGGTATTACCCGCTGCATAAATGGACCAAAGCTGCAAAGGAAAAATGTCCATCAAATCAATCTTCGATAAGAATAATCCTAAGAAATGCTCTTGTGAATAAGAAAAACACTAAACCATTAAAATATAATCAGGAGCTATGGCATATAAGAATGTTGCTCAAGGCTCGTGAGCATGTTTCCCAAGAACAGCTATTCAAGGTACCATGGGTTGTAGTGGAACAATATCAGCCCAAGGCCAAAGGAATCCGAAAAGTTTCTCCAATTGTCACTGATCAAACAAGAATTATAATTGGCCAAAAGAACTAAAAGATTGAATTGGGCTCTAAATGGTGACTTTGGAATGTAAAATCTCCCACTTCTTTGCTTCTCTAGAGCTATCGCCTTGAAACTCGTAAATCAAAGGGGAATATAAGAAACAATCATATAAAGAAAACACACTCCAAATTTAAAGTTACCTTGTCCTGCAGAGCAAAAGATTTCCGGCTGACAGTTTCACTCTTCAATGTGCTATGAATATCCAAAAATGACGGTGAAGATGCATGCATGGTGGGATCCGATTTTCCATCAAGAATATTACTTACAATACCTCCCGTATGATCCACACTACAGAAGGTTTACAAAGATTAGATTTCAAATGATACGGATACAAAAGATTGTGTAATTATGAGATAAAAAATGACTGTATGTATTGTTGCTCATTAGGTAATACCATTATCATAGGGAGTGAAGTCAATTATTCTAAAAACAAAGAACTAAAATACAACATATCAGCAAGACTAGAGGAAGGTACCTAGAGCCAACAAATTTGACTCCACCAACGGATAAGTTCTCGTCACGTATAGAAGTAGTTGGTGGTTCAGCATTGCCAATATTCAGTTGGGAAACCACCTTATCATTCTCGTCTCCATCATGGACTATTACAGTGCCAAAAGTACCTACTCGATAAATATGCATGTAGTAGATGAGTGAAGGTTAAAGAACTATAAAAAAAATGCTAAATTCTTGCTAATCCCAAATGTTTAAGATGTTAGGATAATTTTAATTATTTAAAGCAACATTTAACAACTTTTCTAACAAGTAGGCACGTACCTAACTTTGGTCAGAATTGTCCAATACTTATCTTGAAATCAAGTAAAAAAAGCAAATATAAATTCTCAAAATCTCTCTTTGATATCATATGAAATAATTTTTAAAAATCAAAGGATGTAAGTAGACATCAATTTACTGTTTTAAAATATTTTTTTTATAAGAATTTTACTGTTTTAAAATATTTCTTAATAGATCTCAATCAGATTGAAACTTGAGTGGAGAAACAGGGTATAAACCTTGAGTTGCAAGGAAGCAAACAACATGAAACAAATTTTCACAAGCAGAAGCAGAACTATCAGATTAAAAGCGCAGTACGGCAAAAAAGTGTAAAATACAACCCAACATTTGGAGAAAGATCAATTGACCCAACATAATAGATTGTTTCGTGATCTTGTTACAGAATGTTTAAAAAGATAAAAATAGAAGAACTGAAATGATAACCACATTCACCTATTATCTGAAAATACCACCTAAAGAAGCTTCAGGTGCAATCCCTAAACTGAATTAGCACAAATTCATATGCACCAATTTATTAGTACAAGTTCGCAGAAATTATTGGCACATGCATAAAAACATCTATTTTCAGAATCTAGTTTCCATAGCAAGCCATCAACTTTGCATTAATTGAAAGCTTTATCTATAAGAAAATAGTTCATTAAAGTATGAAAATACAGAAGGAAGGAGAGAAAAGCCTCAGGCCGGGCGGGCTAAGGATGTTACAAAAAATCATTAATGGAAAGCTTATGTAAGTCCAAATGAGCCTCTGAACTCATAAAATAACAATACCACAGTTCCACACCGCTAAAAATTTCAATTATTGGAAAAATAATAGTAATCCCATTGACTTTATCAAAGCACATGCCATAATAAAATGCATACCTTCCGCTACAAGTCCCACACCTGAGAGCTCTTGCTTCCTCAAAGTGCCACCAGCTGGAATTTCGTTTCCCACCGGTATTCCAATATTCTGAGGCTTTGAAGGAACAGTATCGCCATAATCTTGATTCAACTTTGCAGCTACTATTGTCTGTTTCAAATAAAGGCATTATAGAAAGAGTGAATTCTCGATCACCTATTACACATGCACATGTAGCAAGCAAGAGCTCAGAAAGGAGGAGAAAGAATAGCTGCAGTGGAGTTTAAGCCCTTACACCATCTCCTGATGCATCTGGAGCAATAGTATGTGCTTGCTGAGCCATTAAAGTCCTGATTTTCCTAGCCTTTTCAATCTTGGGCAACATTGCTGATGCCCCGCATCTGCATTTCTCAATGAATTTGTGCTGTGCATGGAAAGCAAAAATTAGTTATCGAAGTGAGATAAAATACAAGAAAATTTAACTAGACATTTCAACTAATTACACAAAACCTATTGGATATAAGAAAAATATTCCATGCAACATGGACAATAACAATTTTAATCCAATTTTTTTAAACAAGAAAGTATGAGAATTTTGAAGATTGAACTCCTGGAACTTGGACAAGAAAGACCACAATTTGCTTTTCCGAAGACCTGGCAATGACAGGGAGACTAATGAATTAATCAATATTAGCTCATGAAACTACCCCTATTATAAATACTTATGTACGAGGAAGGACAAGAAGGGAAACTCACTCACCCATGGTTAGTTAGGAAGCCTTTTGTACGTTGTCAGTTTATATGGGGAGGGGATTTAGCTAGGAAATGTATCTTTTGTCTTTTGTTGGGAAGACTTGGACTTGGAGAAGGAAAACTCCCAGCCCTCTCTAACGGCTGGGCACCTTTTTGTTTGCCTTAGGGCTTTCTTCTATCATTTCGAATATCAAAGAGTAAGGGAGACACCTTACAGAAACATGTCCAGATTTATTTGGCACACAAAATTGACATGCATTACCTTCAACATCTCAGAAGCAGCAGGTCGTGAACGGGGATCCTTTGTCAGACATTTTGCAACAAAATCATGGAACACCAAGGACCTAAAAGGAAGATACACCACAAGTTATAAAACACTGACATAGTCACATCACATAACACAGAGCTTAAAATGAGAAAGCCAACAAACTTTGCTTATGATACTAGAGATCCATGCAGCACAGTAATCTACAACACTTCAAAATTCAGTACGCCTTTGCAAAAAAAAAAAGAAGTAGACAACCAAGTTTACACATGAAAAAATTAACATGTCATCCCTAAATTAATCGCCATGATGGAATAAGTGATTCAAATCAAGCTGTGAACTCCTTCGGATATGAGACTTGGCAAGTACAATTTTTTTTAAAATGAGAAACAAAACTAAAATTGATCAAATGGAAGTAATTCATAACCATAAATTTGTTGATGTGGATTTTGGTTCTTACAATTAACACACTTCAAATATTTATATTGTATCGGTTAGGACACAAACGTATCTAAAAATGAAAGGAGGATAAGATAAGAGAACCACCTCAAGCTCAAAAACCAAAACATTTTAAATATTGCGTAAATAATATATACTTGGAGTAAGTTACCAAAAATGATATATAATGTAATTAAGAATAAATAAATGACTCAAGTAGATGATAACAATCACGTTTCAGTTCCCAAGAATTTATGCTGAAGCACAGATGATGGAAAAGAATTAAATTGAACCATTTTTCTTTGTCTTCAAGCATTGGAGCTGGCTCAATAGATATCATGAATAAAACCTGTTACATAAGAGAAATGCATAAAATCCTCATCAAAAATCAATCTGACATAACCTTAAATAAACTCAAAGGAACAAAATCAATTCCAAAAGTTAAGGCCCCAATTGATAAAGATTTCATTTTTAGTTTTCTATTTTTAAAAACTATTCTTGTTTCCTCACAATTTCTTTTATCCATGTTTTGCCTTCTTTGAGAACACTTTGAATTTTTAGCCAAAATTCTAAAACAAAAAAAATTGTTCTTGAAAATTTCTCTCTTTTAGTTTTTAAATTTTAGCTAATTTGAAGTGTTTTTTAAAAGTGGTAAAAAAATGGTTAATTAAGAAGTTTATTTATTGGAAAAAAAAACATTATAATTATCAAATGGGCAATATGAATTCAAGCAGAAAGAATATTGATTTCATATGTGGTTCATTACAAACAGAAAACCTGGTTACCCAAAGATGAAACAGCACTATTCGATAAGAGCAAGACTTCAAAGTTTGGATTTCTCACGCAAAGAAAGGAGAAATTTCATTTATGGAGTTTCAAATGCTTCAAAATTTTAAACTAACCCTCATTGGATGCACTGCTGATCTTGGAGGAAGGCCCTGCAATCAGTTACAATATTATTGCTAGATATCAAAAATTATCACCAAGATACTTAAAACCCCAAATAAATTGGAACGTCATCAGCAGAAAAGCGTTATTCGAGTGATATTAGGAAAATTCTAGAGCTGGTTTCATGAGGTCAGATTTTTACCTCAGCCATTTCAATAGCAGAAACACCAAGAGCCCACACATCCACCTGAAAATAAAACAAAATAATTGCAAACAGAATTACTCTGGCTGCAACCCAGAAACTGCAAACGTCACATAAAAAAGAAAGCATATAATACAGTAACAAAACATTCCCTAGTCACTTAATCGTTAACTATGATTAAATTTTAGATGCTTCTTTAACAGAGACCTTCTATTAAAGGAAATAAAAATCGACTAATTTTTAGTAGGTAAGGTCAGTGAGGATCTGCACAACACCACTGACATTTCAATGCCATTTTTCTTTTCAATTCTTCAGTACCTCAAAAGTAAATTGTGCTACAAAGTATTACACCTTACGGAATAGTCAATTTGCTATATATATCTCATTAAATATCATCAGTGCTTTAATATGCATATATCAGGAATGTCTGAGACTATAACAAGTTCACTCGTACTTCATATTATTAGACTTCCTATCGAAGTTTCTTCAAATCTCCATTCTCAAGTTGGTTTAGACTTCATGAAGATTATTGTTGTGACACCCATATCCTAATCAACATCGTGCTATTCCTGTCTAAAACTTCATATACAGCACAGAAAAAAATATAGCAAGCCCTGAATCAATGACAAAAATGCATACATAAAATTGCAAGTTTATAATAGAAAACTGAAACTTCCAATACTTATAATAATTATTAAATCAAATCCAAACATGTTGTGCTGCATGCTAATTATTTTCGCAACATCAGTTCTAGAAGGCAGACGTAACATACCAAACTAGTACAAAGTTAGAACCAAAAATATAAAACCTCTTTCTCAAATCATTCATAATTTATTTTTCACAGGAGAGATATACTAATAAGATACAAATATTAATCTTTATTTGAATACCTTCCCATCATATCGACTTTCCTGAATAACCTCCGGAGCCATCCAATGTGGAGTACCGATGAACTGGAAAAATGTATATGAGATCACAAGAAATGAAGACTAAATATAAAGATTTACCATTTCTAAAATCTCCCAATTTAGAATAAAAGCCATGATGCCTGCATTGAGGTACTCATTCCTCACTAGGCTTGAGTTTTAATACATTGGCAGAAACACAAGTGGCATAGTAGTTATACAAAAATCAGGATAGAACACACAACAAGGAGAGGCAAGCCATCTAATTACAGCCTATGAGACCGTTATTCCATTAGCAAGTTTTGAACATCAAGTATGTTATTTTTACTCGTTATGTAAGAAGTTAACGTACTGTATTGCGCTTTGACATGGTCCTAGTAAGCTGTGCTGCAACTCCAAAGTCTCCTGCACGCATTTTTTTAACACAATTGTAGCTCATTGATGTCAGTTGGTTATAAAAGAAAAAAATGGAAGCAAAGAATGAAAATGATTTGTTTGCCTACCAAATTCTAACTGCAACAATAGGACGTCGGTTTAATCCGCTATACCATAAAAGGAATGTAAACTTAACTTCTCTAAAAACCAGAAGGGTAGTGTACTCACCCAACTTGACATCACCTTGCTCGGTTAACAATATATTACCGCCCTTGATATCTCTATGAACTTTGAATATTGTGTGAAGATAAGTAAGGCCCTACAATAAATTTAATCTGTAAGGCCAACTATGCATAAGAGAAAAGAAAAGAATTTAAAGAAAAATGTATGATTGACAAGAAATTTAGTTTCATTGTTTATTGCATCAGAAGGATTTTCTCCAAGTGAGCTACATTTGAGAAAGCGAAGCAAGTATTTTCTTTATGCAAACACAAGCAGAAAGATACCAGTACTGCAGTCCAATTACTAAGAGACGACATTTTTCTGCAAGGAGAATGTTTGAAGGCAGCTTACTGGTTGAAAATCTTACCTTCAATGCCTCCCTGCAGATATATGCTATTTGATATTCCTCTAAAGGTTCCTCAGTAACGTTCATCAAGTCAGCAACACTGCCACCCCCACAGTACTCCATTACTATCTGCCAATAAATAAATACTTATAAATCTGAAAAGATAACAGAAAGATACAGATTACAGAGAATTATAAGCACTTTGAAAATTTAATTTATACTCAATCTAACTCATGGAAATGGTTACATAAGATTTTAACGTCAACTAATTTGTTCTACCCAGAGATACTCCTCTCCTTGATAGCTCCCAAGATAGCGGACAACATTTGGATGGCTGCATTGCTGCAACATCTCAATTTCACCACGAATTTCTTCATATCCTTCCTCCTACAAAGGAACTCAAAGTCGATTTCCACAAGAAAAATTCAAAGAATAATGACCACACTAAAGAGAGCAAAATTAGAAACCATACCCCTTCAGACAAAGATATGACCTTGATAGCAACCAGCTCAGAGGTTTTAATATCCCTGGCTTTATATACAGCCCCATAAGATCCCTTTCCTGCAAAAGAGTCAACATGAGCCTGCGATCTCCAGCATCACCGAAATTAACAACCGACGTGATTTTGCATTTGAAAGCACAAGAAATCTTCATGAAATAAAAAAACTTAATAATTAAAACCCACCTCCATTCACATTATAAGAATGCATCTCATAGACAACAAATTTCATATTTAACATGTATGCAAACAGCTTACCAAGTTCGTTGAGCAATTCATACTTAGAATTTGGATCTTCCCTGGTAATGCTTTCAGGAATYGAACTCGAGGATACCTCCTTACTCCGCAGCCGGCCACCGCCCTCCTCACTCCTCGGCGATCCATTCCCCTTCCTCGGCTTCCCAAACCCTAACTCTCCCATTCCTTGCATACTCGCCACCGCTCTTCCCATCGTGGACCCCTCAAGTCCTCCGCCCCCATCTCTGGTATCAATACGACTACCAACGGTCCTTCGAACAACAGTCCCACTAATAGATTCTCTGTTCCGCGACCTCGCCGTGGGCCTCACCACAAACGTCGAATATCCATCACCATCACCTTCCTCGCTCTCGTCGCCTTGTTCACTAACACCATCACCACCTGCTCTCTTCCCAGGGCTCCCCGGCTGAAAATTCACGAACGGTAACTGCGAGGCTCGAGGCCTCGTTGAAACCGAAGACGACGCAGAGCGGTCTCGAGGACGATTTCTATCCGTCTTAACGATCATAGTACCAAAGTCTTCAGTATCATCATCAAAATCAAAAGCACTGTCGTCCTCGTAGTCAATTGGGGCTCCGCCACCGAAATCCTTAGGAAGACGTTTAAGGAGAGGAGGGAGAGAGGAATCGTCATCCTCCTCGTCCTCCCGGCCCTTATCAACGTCCTTGTATACYATTGTAGCGTATAGGTCTTGGTCTTTGGCCGGCGGCCTCCGTCGCTGCTGAAGGTTCCGATCGTCGGGATTCTTGTCGGAGTCGGAATCAGAATTGGAATGGATGACAACTGTGGAATAGAGCCCAGATTTGGTGGTGGTTCTGCGACTGCGGTAGGAGGCGTGATCCATGGGTGAGTAATTGACAGAGTGGAAGCTAGAAGGCCATAATCTGCAACTGAAAGTCTGAAACTTCCAGCTGGTTCTGGTTCTTCTCGGTTCGTTCTTGCCAACTTTTCACAAGTTTTGGAGCGAAGCGGAAGCGGAAGCCGGAAGGCGCCATCGAGCCGGTGAACACAACATCAACAATCAACCGGCAAAGTTTGGGATGAAATAAATGGGCTCGTCAGACTCCGAGCCCACCGTAAGACTTTCAATGGGCTGCCACTGCTTCACATGCTGAACAAACCCAATATGTAAGACTTTGATTTAGCAAATATATTCAATGATGATACCGTAAATATATCTAGTTTGGTCCTAACCACGTGTTTTTGGAAATTCAAGTTGACACCAATTCAATATGTTATCATTTTATTTTAGTTCAGATAATAATATTTGCAATCATATTTAAATTAAAGGTTAAAACTTGTCTGTTATCAAAAAAAAAAAAAATGGTTAAAATTTGTTGGGGAAGGCATAGTAAATTGTTCCAATTGTAATAATATTTTAGAAAGAAACTAAATTTAATTTTGTTTATTTGCATGAGAATTAGAAGCCAATGTAGGAGTGGGATAAATGTTTTGTTTTTATATTTATTTAAATCTTTAGCAACCAATATATATATGATTTTCCTTTTGAATACTTTTTAAATGTTCTTTTTTTTATTTATAATCGGGAGTGGGAGCATCAAGAATTTTTGTATTAAACTCAATGGAAGATTCGAACTTGAGACCTTTTAACCAGTATGATCAAGAGATCTCAAATTCCTACCCATCAAGCTATCCTTTTGGAATTGGGAACAGCCTCTTAATCCAAAATTAATTCACAAAAACAATATATAATAAACTCAATCTTTCCACCAAGTCCAACGAGTTAAAACAAATATTGCTACCAAAAAGTTCAACTAGTTAACACATATATCACCGATCAAAAAGTTGGAGATTCAAATCTCCACTTCTCTCAAACAAATAATAATAAATAATCAACTAAAATCTTTCTATTTCTATTGAATTTTTTCTGAAAAAGTTAAATAATTAAAGACAAAAATGTAATTACCCGAAAAAACCAACCCAAAGCTACTAAGCCTAGGTAGTCATCAATTCTTGTTCAACCTCATATTTCTCAGAGAGAGAATATTTAGCAACAACGAGAAAGATACAACCAACCAGACCAAGTTTAACCAAAGACACAGGACCCAATAAATTTCTTTTACTATTGCCCTTATTCTTGGGACTTAAATCGGGATGCTGAGAAGGAAGAGCAGAACGGGTCATCATAAAAGTGGAGTATAAATCAATATCTGCTAAAGTTAAAGCTGGCTTCAAAGAATCCTTTACCGTCTGAAAATGGCGACCACAAACAACACTGGCAGTTATATCTTCTCTTAAAGCTACAATTCCAGCTTCCCTACACAGGCCCTCCAGTTCAGCCCCCGTGAAGAGCTCTGTATCCTCTGCTATTTTCTTGAGGTCGACGTCACTTCCGATTTTCATTGGACGAGTATGAACGCAAAGTATCTCGTGCCGGGCTTCTAAATCCGGTGGAGGAACATAGAGCACCTAAAATTTCATTAGATACAGGGGTGTCAATATGACTTGACAGATTTTTAATATCTATACTTGGACATAAAACTGGAGCAGGTAAGTTTGGATGATATCCTTCAGTAAAATATGATATGGAAAGCCCAACTATCTTCCCGTTAAGACATGAGAGCATAAGAATAGAATGTGTGGATGTCTCACCAAGTCGAACCGTCCTGGTCGCATAAGCGCAGCATCAATCGCATGAGGACGGTTTGTAGCAGCTAAAACAAGTATTCCCTGAGCAGTCGAGACACAACTCAAAACAAGGAGAAACCAAGATAGAAGTGGAAAAATCTCTAATCTCAAGTGCCAAAGAGATGAAGGGAATTATAGGATATCACACTCACTTTAGCTTCTTCAAGACCATCCATCTCAGTTAACAACGTAGATAAAAGCCTCTCCCCTACTGCAACGTTGCCGCTTGAACTCCCACCTCTAAAATTAAATAGTAACACTAAAGAAGTTTATAGCAGGAATAATCGCAAGAATTCAGGCCAGTTGGAAAGGGATTAAAAAATACATTACAACTTTTATTTAAATTTGGAATCATTTTACGTGCCCAACCACAAAAGAACCTTAAAATTGATCGTGCTAATCACTAACCTTTTGGCAGCAACAACATCTGCCTCGTCAAAAAATATTATGCTTGGTGCAGCAAGACGAGCTCTTCTAAATGTGTTGCGCAGTAGAGCCTCTCCCTCTCCAACATACATTGAAAACATCTCTGCACCACTGATTAATAGTACATGATCTCAAGACATGCAGTTCAGTTACGTACTACTTCAACTAAAGCTTCATATGAAAACGAACAAAGTGGGGAGAACAAAAAGAATAGTTGTGTTAAAAATCAGAGAATGGATCTTAATGTGAGAAGTACAATCAAAATCTCATAGCAAGAAAAGAATCCAATGGTTTGCTTGCAGTTCGAACTGCATGAGGGAAACATTGGCAGGATATTTTATTCTTACATCTGAGTTCAGAAACATAAACATAACATCAGAACTGTCTATCAAAGAATGAAGTCACAACTAGGCTATATCTCGAGGAGTCCACGTCTTATTATTCACATAGAAACAAGTACATCATCCTATTTGAACAAGATATAAGAGAAAATTATTATGTGGATTGAAGTCAAAATATATCTACGAGCAATACAACAGCTAACCGCTTTAACTACCCCTTTGATGGGATATTCTTTTTGAAATTGGTACTTTTCTCTGAAGTCCCATGTCCTTTTAGATTTGAGAAATTCAAGTTGGATTATCCGACTATTTGGTTAAAGAAATCAATTTTGTCCATTCAACATCATTGGTTCGGCTGTCCATTTTCACAAACTGAAGATATTTCTACACTCTACAGTTATCGATCTAGAAAAAAACTGATGAAACCAAACTGACAAACATCCCAACATGTCACTGTGTTTGGTATTGTGTCTTGTCCATGTTCATGCTTCTTTGATTGCTTGCAATAATGAGACGACATTGCTTGACAAGGTCATTGATACTCAACATTTAAACTCCACTTCTTATTCATTATTTTTCTTTAACTCAAGTATCATATATATTTTTTTAACGGGGATTCAAAGCTTTACTCCCCTATAACCAGGGGCACCCGCACTCACCCGAAAGCCTACAAGGAATCTTTGTCGGGCCTACAAGGAATCTTTGTATTAAACTCACCAGAAGGTTTGAACTTGAGACTTCTGAGCCGGTATGACCAAGAGACCCCAAGTTTATTATTAAAATACACACACAGCATAAAGAGCTTTCAGATGAGAACACAATGTGAAATATGGGCGGAAATACCTGAGTGAAAAAAAGGATGCTTGAGCAGCATTTGCAGCTGCTTTAGCGAGGGTTGTTTTTGAACAACCAGGAGGCCCGTACAAAAGAATTCCACGTGCAGGTGATATACCCAGCTTTGAGAAAGAAGCAGCATGTTTGATAGGCCATTCAACTGACTGCTGTAGCTTTTTCTGTTTACAATAAATAGAAAGTTATAATTAATGTTCAATGAAAATTTGCCAGAAAAATCATGTCATACACACTTTCAAATCTTTAAGTCCTCCGATATCATCCCAAGTCACATTTGGAACTTCGACAGTGACACCTCTAGTCATGCTTGGGCCAACAACAGATCTTGCATGCTTCCAGTCTTCTGTTGTCAGAGTGAGAGTAGCATTCTCATTTGTACCTGAACACCTTTGCAATGCAGCCATAGCAGCTTCGCGACACAAAGCTTCCAAATCAGCTCCTACAAACCCATTGCAAGATGCAGCTATGGCACGTAAATCAACTTCTAGATCCAATTGAACCTTCCTTGTGTACAGCTGAAAATGGTTTTATGTAAAAGTCATTAACCACAAATAGTTTTTCCATCAAGGCATAATAACTCTCATTTACTACTAATAACGTCAAAAATACACTGGACCAAAATGCTCATATCTCACAGGTTTAACTGAATAAATGACCTTTCGAGATGGGCATAGTCAATGTATCACTTACCCTTAGAATCTGATGCCGTTCATCTTCAGTTGGTGCTGTCACTTCTATTTCAGCATCAAAACGCCCCGACCTTCTAAGTGCAGGATCAATTGCATCCACTCTTTAACAAAAAGACAATATCATATATGTTAGCAGCTAAGAAAAAAAGTGAAACATAACAGGAAAAATTATATAAATAAAAATTAGCCAGTTAGTCAGAAGTTATTCTGATGCTAAATAACCGACTAAAAAGAAGAACAGTGCTGCTGTAATAATATTTTGTCTATGTAACGAGACAGTATGAGTTGAGAGGGAGAAAAGGAGAGATCTTAAACACATTATGCTTGACAGGCTTTTAGGCTACAAGATTAAAAAAAACAGTCCCAGGATGTTTTCTGCATATTTTTACTATAAAATACAGCTAGCACCTTATATTTCGCAGTATTGCAAACTCCAATGATACATGTACAAGTATTTAAAAAATAATTATAATATGCAAATTAGATGAAGTTAAGGCAATATTTTAATAATTGCATATTTATAATTATTTAGTTAAACAATAAAAGATCTCTATTGCTTTATGATGCTGTATGGAAAGATCCATACCCAAAAACAGTAGAAATTCTTTCTATGGGAGATTAGTCGCAAAGCCATAAATACTCATGATAAGCTCCAACATAGGATGCCTTATACGTGTACCTTTCTCAATGGTGCTCTATTTGCAAGAAAAGCTCCGAAACACACCACCATATTTTTGTCTCATGTGATTTTGCTGCACTTTTCTAGGGTATTATTTTGACAAAGTTGGATGATCTGTGGTTCTTCCCTTATAAGTTATATGTGTACCTTTCTCAATGGTACTCTATTTGCAAGAAAAGTTCTGAAGCACACCAGCATATTTTTGTCTCGTGGTTTTGCTGCAGTTTTCTGGGGTATTCTTTTGACAAAGTTTGGATGGTTTGTGGTTCTTCCCAAGGATCCTACTTTGTCTCCTTGAACTTGTTCTGGTGGGTCATTCTTTTAAAAGTGAAAAAGTGCTCCTTTGGTTGAATGTTATTAAAGTCTTCTTATGTGTCACTTGGCAAGAAAATAATAAAAGAATCTTCAGAGAAAATGAGCCATCTTTCGATTGGTTTTTTTATGCAATAGTTTATTTGATGGTTTCTTGGTGTAAATGTTCCCCTATGTTTCATTACTATAGCTTTCCTTCTCTTTTATCAAATTTGAGAAACTTTTTGTGACTCCCTTG